ATGTAACTGTTAAGTTTCTAAAGAACACTAAAACGTATTCAAGCATTATTCTATCTTATCTTTTTTCCCAGTCTCTCGAACAAGGAATATTACCCAGTGACTGGAAGGTGGGGAAGGTGATTCCAATTCATAAAGGCGGCGATAAACATAATCCTATTAATTTCCGCCCGATCTCTCTAACGAGCATCCCTTGCAAAATTCTTGAACACGTAATATATTCACATCTTGTTAATTTTCTTGACTCTAACTCTTTTTTCAACACAGCTCAACACGGTTTTCGAAAGTTTTATTCCTGTGATACCCAACTGCTAACATTAACTCATCATCTTCACCTCACTCTAGACCGGGGTTCTACGACTGACTGCATATTCCTGGATTTCTCAAAAGCTTTTGACAAGGTTTCTCACCAGCTACTTCTTCATAAACTTAGCAACCTTAATATAGATCCCAATGTCCTCACATGGATAAAATCATTCCTAACGAATCGCTTCCAATTTGTTCGAACTAATGACACTAATTCTTCGCCCTCACCTGTTAACTCCGGTGTCCCTCAGGGCTCCGTACTCGGACCACTCTTATTTCTTATTTATATCAATGACCTTCCTGTGCATGTTTCTTCCTCTATTAGTTTGTTCGCTGACGATTGTGTAATTTATAAAGAGATAGTTAACGACTCTGACATTTCCGCCCTTCAGGTTGATATTAACAACATCTGCAAATGGTGCAAGGAATCGCTCATGGAGCTTAACATCACTAAATGTACATCTATGAGAGTATCTCGTCATAACAACACTTGTCCTTCCTACTCTATTAACAATTCTACTTTAGTTTCTGTGTCCTCCTATAAATATCTCGGCATTCACATAACCAACGACCTCTCCTGGAATATCCACGTCCAATATGTCACTAACAACGCAGATAGGCTTTTGGGCTATCTCAAACGTAACTTTTCGCTTGCTCCTCTTTCGTTAAAACTTCTCCTCTATAAAACCCTAGTTCGTCCTAAACTGGAATATGCAGCTTCTATCTGGAGCCCCGGTATCACCCTTGCATCAGCTGTCGAATCTATTCAGAATCGTTCTGCCCGTTTCATACTCTCGAACTATCATCGTACAGCCAGTGTAACTTCCATGAAATCGTCCCTCTCCTTACCTGATCTCTCTCTCCGAAGAAAAATATCTCGTCTATGTTTATTTCACAAGATTTATTACTCTAACCCCGCTCTCCGTCAAGCATTGTTTTTAGAACCATCGTACATATCATCACGTGTAGACCATGACCTAAAGGTAGGGATTCCCCATTGTAGCACATCCACTTTTAATGCTTCTTTTCTACCCCAAACCTCCATTGATTGGAATCGCCTTCCCGCACATATAGTCTCAATAACTAACACTGTTTATTTTAAAAATGCTATTACCAACTTTTTAACAGATGATGCGTAGCGCGTGTTTTTGCTGTGTGTGTGTGTGTGTTTTTTGTTTTTTTTTCTATTTTTGCCTCGTTCAACTATGTTATTTTTATCTGTCGACCGCCCACTCCCCTCTGTAATGCCTTCGGGCCCTGAGGGAATAATAAATGAAATGAAATGAAAGGTATCCTGAAAATGTGGTTAGTTTGGGTAGCTCAGAAAACCGCCGCTTTAACCCCTTAAAGGGGCCCTGCAATCATATTTAAGCATCTACCTTTTATGCGGTTTCCACGTCTCTTGGGGTTCGGGCAAGCCAGCGGGCACGGAAGGAGTAGCTAAATATCAGTGCGCCATATTTTAACCGGACGACACAGAAACCTCCTCCCCGACGAGGGCGACCCGCGGTACCGAAAGCGCGCATAATGTGACGTCTTTGGTCCTGGGCTTACTACTGGTCAGAGCCACTAAAAACTTCTTTTTGGTCGAAATACAAAATATAAGTGGCGCGAACCGTTTCAATTATTTATAAAAGTAGTTTTTGTTCACTATTATAGATGAAAAAAAAAGAAAGAAATGCAGTTTATAAAGTACGGAAACAAGAAATGACCCATCAACATACCCGCCGCCAAGCGGTGGAAAAGGCGGCGCATGCTAGAAAGGAGTAGTGGGATCAGGCGCCGACACGAAAAAATCCCGGATGTTCGCGGTGGCGCTGCAGTCGTATGGACAGGAGGATCCGACCGGCTCCGAGCCTTCCGGAGGCCTTCGGCGAGAGGCTTTGTCTTGCGGTTTGGCCGTTTCGCGGTATGGCGGCGCGAAGTGGCTCCCATTCTGAACTGATCTTTACCCTGTGTTTGCTGTCGTTTGTGGCCAATGAAGTGTCATGCCGAATTAGTGTTTAATCGCGCAGCAAACGCAATGAAAGCCGCTTTGGCTGCTCGCTGCATACAGCCTATCCAGAACATGCTTTAGTGGCGCCCTCTGGCGCCATCGACACGGATTGCGGCGGCCGTGAGCGCTCGATGAGCTCACTATTCCTCCTCTAGTTCACGGCCACTCAAGCCAGGACCTACGACGTCATGAAGGAGGTTATTTTTTGCTTGTTTTTGTAATTCTAAATGGCCTATAACTTTTAAAATAAAGCGAATTTCGCGAAAAGTTTCACTAAGTTACTACGTTCAGTGCGCTCAGGTTCGGTGCAAATTAAAGAACAGTAAAAAGTCCCTGCAGGGCCGCTTTAAAGGGGCTCCGCAAGGACTTATTTTTACTGGTTTTTAATTTGCACCGAACCTGAGCGCACTGAACGTAGTAACTTAATGAAACTTTTTACAGCGGAGCTGGGCTAAAATCCCCAGGATTGTGTCCGGTATCAAACGCCTGTCGACACAAACCCACATGGAAATCTATTGCCTTCTATAAGTGACGGCGGCAAGCACACAACCAGTCTGATTGCCACCATCGCTCGTAGATGGCGGCAATCTTTCCAGCCATCATAGAAGAATGGATAGTTGGGCGCGTTGGTGGGAATTCATCGTACGAAAGAGCATGAAAAACAGACGACTACGAAGAAGCACATGTAACAAGCGTCGAGTGCAGCGCTCGTCACGTGTGTTTCTTTGTCCTCGTCTGTTTTGTGCGCTGTTTCTTACGCTCTTATCAGTTTCGGTTTGTACTTGGGATGGGTCGGCCGCGTGCCCTTTCCGGGAAAAAAGACTGGGTGCGGAAGGAGTGGCGGCGTATGCAGCAGCACGAATGGGTCCGCAACCGCCGCAAAGCCGCTGTCGCTTTGACTTCCTCTGCGTCGAGTGCTTCAGATTACCTTGCCAAAGAAAAGCAGATCACTCGCCTGGAAAGCCTCCGCCAAAAGAGAACCAGCGATGGTAAAGGGCGTTGGCGGGCCAGCGCCATGGACGACAATCGTGCCACGGAGGCCAAGCGCAAGCGCGATGCTTGGCGACGACTGCACTCCACGCCGGCTGAACAGTTCCCGGGCACGACGGCGAGGTTCCGGAGGGAGATCGTGGATGACCCGTTTGGCGTCACGTGCGCCGTGTGCGACCGACTCTGATTCGCCGGAGACGTATCCACGATCGGCGACGTGTCGGACGAGAAGAAACGGGAAACGGGCGCGTGCGCGTTGCAGCAGTGTATCGAGTACAGCTCCGCTGCTCTTCCTTCTTCACGAGAGTGGAAAGGCTGAACGTTTTTTTAATTACATTTCTGAGTATCTTTTACTCATTATCTCACATACATTTTTGACATTCTGCCATTTTCCGAGGTTTTCTGTATGAAGTGGCGTGGGCGTGGCTTGAGCTAACATGAACATTCTTTCTTTTCTCGAATTTCGTTTTATTTTAAAAGTTATAGGCAAATTAGAGTTAGAAAACAAGCAAAAAATAACCTCCTTCATGAAGTCCTTCTCTGCTTGAGTAGCCGGGAACTAGAGGAGGGGTAGTGTTCTCAGCAAGCGATCACTGCTGCCGCACTCCGTGTCGACGGCTCGAGAGGGCGCCACTAAAGTATGCTCTGGCTAGGCTGTATGACGCGGGCAACCTGCGCAATTAAACACTAATTTGGCATGACACTTTATTGGCCACAAACGACAGCAAACACGGGGTAAAGATCAGTTCAGAACGGGACGCGCTGCCACACCGCCAAAAGGCTAAACCGCAAGCCAAAGCTGCTCGCCGAAGGCCTTGGGAACACTCGGAACCGGTCGGATCCTCAAGCACAGCACCGCCGCATACATCCGAGACCTTTCTACGCTCGCCGCTTGTCAGCGTTCACTACACCTTTCTAGTTTGCGCCGCCTTTTCCACCGCTTGGTGACGGGTATGTCGATGGGTCATTTCTTGTTTCCGTACTTTCTGAACTGCATTTGTTTCTTTTCTGGTCTAAAATACTGAACAAAAACTACTTTTGTAAATAATTGAAACGGTTCGTGCCACTTATATTTTGTGTTTCGACTAAAAAGAAGCTTTTAGCGGCTCTGAGCCGCTAAAAGCTTTTTTCGTAAAGCGGCCCAGTACCAAAGACTTTACATTTTGCGCACTTTCGGTACTGCGGGTCGCCCCATAGCTGGAGGAGGTTTCTGCGTCGTCCGGTTAAAGTATGACGCACTGATATTTAGTTACTCTCTCTGTGCCTGCTGGCTTGCCCAAACCCCAAGAGACGTGGAAACCGCAAAAAAGGTAGACGCTTAAATATGATTGCAGGGCCCCTTTAACCGTTCTGGACGGGCCTAGCTCACCAACGTGAAGCTGTCCCCCAACCGTTCGGGACAAGTATAGCCCGTCTGCTTTCCTTGGTTCACGCACCCAACCATTTTGGATGACCCAGGCCTGCATGTAGATTAGTTTGCAGCTCTGCCAACAGATCTCGGCACTGACTCGTTTTAAGTTTTGCTCCCATTCTGTTTGGTGCTAAAAATTTTATTTTGAAGGAAACACATTTGACTTTGCACTGTTGAGGGTCAGAAACTCCCAAAATTTAGAGACAGGAGGATAACGCCGAGGGGCCAGCTTAAAATTCCGCAGAGCCCAGCCGTCTCTGCGAGTGTCTTGAAAGCGGACGTCTCTTCCCTTTCGCGCAGCGCCACGTGCCTGGCGACGCTGTTGCTGTGCGACCGGTGGTTTTACGGCCGCTGGGTGTGCACCCCGTGGAACTTTGTGCGCCTCAACCTGGTGGCGGACATTGGGTCCCACTATGGCAGCCACCCGTGGCATTGGTACTTTAGCCAGGGGCTCCCGGCGGTGCTGGCCCTCCAGCTGGTGCCCTTCTTCCTGGGCATCCGCATCGGGCGCTGCCGCCTGCTCGTCGCCATAGTCTTCTGGCACATGCTCGTGCTCAGGTACTCGCTTGGCGTTTAGAGAGCCAGCCTCGGGAATTTTGTGTCCGTGGCACGTAGCTCCGATGACGTCACAGTTTCACGCGATGTCACAGTGTCACGTGATATCGCAGTGTCACGTGATGTCAATGTGTCTTACGATGTCAAAGTGTCACGTGACATGTTCACATGTTTATATTAATGAAAATGTGTTTTATGAGTTGTTTTCTATGAGAAAGTTATTATGAACGAATGTCATCAATGAGAGTAATCAATGAGTGACATGCTGGGAGCATTGCACAACGTTAAGGTTATGTATGAAGTTTGCATACAAAGTTTGCACTGACCCAGGTTCGAGCCTCAGCGAGGCTCAAACCTGGGTCGGTGCGGTGGCTGTTAAATACTATAGCTGCTGAGCTGCGTAGCCTGGCTTTTCCAAAAAATTAGGCTCCAGGCAAAACTTGCTGGCAAGAGTGGTCTGACCTTATGCCACGTGTCTGCTCGCTTTATTGATGTCACGCATCATGCAAGAGCCATATGCGGAGAGCTGGTCGTCTGCTTCTTGTGCAGGGGTCGCAGTGGCATCAGAATGATGCCGAGCTCTGATTGGCTTTGATTAAAAAATTAGTGGGTAGACCTCAATGCTAGATGCCTCGAAGTCTACCTACTATTTTTTTCAATCGGCCAATAAGAGCTCGATGTTGTGACATCATCGCGACCCCTGTGCAAGAAGCAAACGAACTTGCGCTTCGCATAACAAGCATGGCACACGGGCTTCGCCCGTGTGCCATGCTCGTTTACACGTTTGCTCGGTCTTGCTAGCATCTGTGGTACACAATGAAAACACTAGCACAGACCACACTGAAAGTGTGGTCTCTGCTAGTGTCCCACGTGCCTGTGCAGAATGTGTCCCACACGTATGTGCGGCGCGCGGGGCACATTAGCTGTTTCCTGGTTTTTGTCAGCATGATCTAGCAAACGAGAATTCATTTGCCAGAAACCCTCGCAATGTGGTCTCGACTGGCCTCGTTACTGTGGCCGCAAAAGGAGGAGCACAAGAAAGTATTTTAAATTTTGCACATTTAAAAGGCCTTTGGAAAATGTCAAAGAGAGAGCCAAATTTTTTTGAAGCGTAGCTTCTAGGGGGACTGATGCAACGCTGCTTTCAGCTAGAAATCTCCGCCGTGATCCATGCTGGTGACATTAGTCTGCTTTTGTCCTATGTCTGGCACAGCTTTTTGTGCGTGGAAACAGCAATTTCCAGATAGCTCGTGTTGTTTCGCTTCAACTAAACCATCCGCAGTAGTTGGAAACATAAAGGAGCCTGGTAGCCGATTGTTATACGTACCAGTTTTTATTCCAACTTCAGACGGCGCTCGAGAAGCCGTCTTGTCGGTGGGCAAAATGTCTCGGCAGATGCCGCCGAGTGGCTCTGAAGAGGGAAAAAAAAATGGTCCGAAATCGCCGCTGCCGTTACGCTGGTTCTCGAAGAAATGTGTTAGCGTTTCGCGCTGCAGTTATATAGAACAACCCACGAGGTGAACATTCCTGAAACCCCTCTTTTCCCTGGTGCAAGCAGATCAGGTCACTTAACGTGTGCAAAAAGGACGTGCACGTGATGCACGGAAAACGGCAGAGCCATTTCATCATTGTGCATACATGTTGTGCATATGGAGGCGACGACACTGCGCGCTTACGGCCTGGTGACATGGTAAGACGACTGCACGTCAAGAATGGACTGGCAGGCCAAAGAACGTAACTGCAGGCCGTGTGCGTCCACAGGTCTCCAAAGCCGACAGCAGGAGCTTCTGAGGGCATTGAAAGCACACACCCGCACGTTGGCTGCGCCATGTAACACCTAGCAACCGAGGTGCAGTGGGGGACAGTGAACATAGGGCCTACTTGGGCCACCACCAACACGCCGCAAGGCGGGGTTTACGGGTGGCCCAAGGGGGGTTACGGTAATATTTTGTAATCAGTCATTTGCAGAATGTAGTCGCGAAGCGGCATGAACGAGAGTGGGGGGGGGGGGGTTGCAACGCCCCCTATTGACACTCTTGCTGTACCCGTTGCACGGCACTGAAATTGGCAAAGGTGGACGTCGCCAGCTAGAGCCTCTATCGCCGGAGATCTTCGGTTGCAAGGTGTTACGTCACGGCATCGCTGCCCCTACCAATCATTCGAGTGTGGCTTTCGTCGTTATGCGTCGCACCCCACTGCCATCTGTCAGCGCTTGCGAAGGGTGTTTTCTAGCCAGTTGCCTCAGTCAGTGGGGCTGAGGCACCAATCTGACGTGACATTGCAAACTTTGGATTCGCATGTATCAGGGCACTAATGCTAATCATTAAAACATGAGTAAGCGCGGCTGTAAGCGTTTCAAATTATGTTCCCGATTGTGCTAGTCGGGTTCCATCATTGACTGAGCTGTCTGATCGCTTCTGTGTTTCATCAGCGCCAAAGGCGACGCTAACAAAAAATTGCATGTGGGCATACAAATGAGGTTCCGACAGGGTCGCAGAAAGCTTATCGACGTTGGATTTCATCGTTTTTGAACATGCTGCGTGGCGGCATGTCCAGAAGTGACATCGGCTGCAGGAATCCCATAGGGCTAGCTTTAGCGCTTTGGTGTCCGAGCCTGGGACGTAGTGTGATGCAGTGTGCTGCTCGGTGTGTGTAGTCGCCAATTGCACTCTCCACATGCAGTCGGTGAGTGCTTTTGGAGCGGAGACTTCCCTCGGTGTGCGTTCGGTGACAGCAAAGCGGGCTGCACATGCTGCGGACTTCGTTTGCCACCAAAGCGGTGCAAGAGCAACAACAGTGACGATGCCAGTTGACATTATACAGCAGCAAACAGACAGTTGTTTAGTGCAGTCTGTCAAATGCGTTCAGTGTAGTATACAATGGGTTTCAGGAGGACTTGAGCAAAGGAGTTCTAAATGCTGTGCATTTAGAATGCCTTTGGGACTTGCCAAAGATACAGCCAATTTTTAGTTCACATTGCATATAAATGAAAGGGAACATGGGGATTTTTTTGTCGTACTGTGCCGTTGTTGGCTTAATTTTTCGAGTGAACTCCCGAATTTAGGGGGACACCACTATGGGAGGCACGGTCACACGGTTGGTGCCACCATCAGTTTCGTGATCAATGCTACTATGGGCTACGTGATGATGTGACCACATAACGTGCTTCGGGCCACACCAAGCCACATGATATCACAATGTCGTGCCGTGGTGTGATGTCACACTTTTATGTGACTCACTGCTGCAGTGTCATGCGATGTCACGGGGTCAGCGAAACTATTCGATCTAGTAACATTGAGTGTCCATCAAGGTGTAATGTCATGTTATGTGACACCATGACTTCACTTCATGACATTGTGTGATAGCATGGCATTATGACATCACTCTGTCATGTTTTATATGAATACTATGCCCTTGCCAGCTTTGTGAGGCTCTAGATTTATTCTCCATGCCCTCAGCAGCTTTGTACAGCTCTAGACTTACTCTCCATGCCCTCACCAGCTTTGTGCGGCTCTAGATTTATTCTTCATGCCCTCGGCTGCTATGTGAGGCTCTAAATTTTTTCTCCATGCCCTCACCAGCTTTGTGCAGCTCTAGATTTATTCTTGCTGCCCCTGCTAGCTTCGCGAGTCTCTAGATTTATGGTATGAACTTGATGGCCTTGCCAGCTTTGTGGGGATTTATTCTCTATGCCCACGCCAGCTTTGTGTGGCTTGTGGGTGCCCTGGCTGCTCCCCAGCCCAGTTGCCCGACTACTGGGCACAGGGAGCGAACTTTACCCTCATGGCAGTAAGGCGGATCAGAGGCGGCACGCAGAGGCAACACGCAGGCAGTGGCTGGCTAGACTCAAGCGCCACCAATGCTCGTGGTTTTTTTTTAGTACTCTTCATTGTCTCGTTCATGTCCAGTGAAGTGTAGTTTCTTGTTCTTGAAACGGTTGGCTCCATGTTATTCCTCGGGGTCAGGTATGCAAGGCAAACCGACCATTCTTGCTGCCCTCGCCAGCTTTGTGAGTCTCTAGATTCATGGTATACACTTGATGGCCTTGCCAGCTTTATGATACTCTGAGTTTATTCTGTATGCCCTCGCCAGCGTTATAAGGCTGTAAAGTTGTGGTATGAACTTTATGCTCTTTGGCACCTTCGTGAGGCTCTAGATTTCTTCTCGCTGCCCTCCCCAGCTTTGTGAGCCACAAGGAGTTCCGGTTCCTGCTGCCCGCCTTCCCGCTGGCCATGGTGGTGTGTGGGGCGGGCATGGCGCGCCTCCCGCGCCTCTGGGCCCTGGGCCTGGCGACGGTGCTGGCGGTGTCCTTCTTCCCTCCGGCCGTCTACCTGGGCGTCTACCACCAGAAGGGGGCTCTGGAGGTGGTGGACTTCCTCGGGACGGAGCTGGAGGCCAACCCCAAGGCCGACGTGCTCTTCCTCATGCCCTGCCACTCCACCCCCTACTACAGGTACGGGCAGCTGGTGCAGAGACGGAACAGAAAAGGGAATGACAAATGAAGGCACCCATAAAGATGGCTCAATCTCTCTATTAATCCTTTAGTTTCTTACTACAGTTTATTTTTCATTGTTTTACCTGCCTCACCTCAGTGATGTACCCAAAAAGATGAAGACAGGTCTTCTATTTACCTCCCAAATTTTCCATATGCAGAAGGCATTATAACTTTTGGAGGGGGGAGGGGGGGAAGTAAAAATAATTTCCTACCCCCTTCCAAAACAAAAAAAAAAATTTTTTTCTTTTTTTTTTGTTTTTTGCTACAGCTTTTGTTTGAGTTAGCTAAGATCCTCACGCTGCTTTTCGAATGATAAATGGAAAATATGCACCCGGATATTCGTAGCAAAGAAGTCATTCTCATTTTTAGAGTATTTTATCCAAATAAGCGCCTAGCAGATTTCTCGGGGTTTTCTGGGTGCGCTCCCGACATTTCCAGAGATTCTCGGTTTCGCTTCCTTCTCAATAGCCACTGCCAAAGCTGTCAATGTCCAATATGCACAGTTCTTGAATTCTTACAGATATGTAGACACAGGGATACATAACATCAGTGTGGAAATATTCTAACCTTCTGCACATTTCGCAGTGACAGTTTGCAACTGAAGCTTCAGTGGGGTTTTCACAGCCTAAAGTGGGCGGCAGAATTCGGGAGGACGTAAATTTCGGAGGGACTAGAGTCAGCGACTATAGAGCCCCGTCTTCCTTTCAGCATAATGCTAGCATCTATACCATTTGCCAGGGTGCCTTCCAGACACACTAAGCCCGACGCCGGGAATTTGGGTTTTGCGCAGTCACATCCACCGCAGGGTCAAGATGCGTTTCCTGAAGTGCGAGCCCAACATCCGCCGCCGCAGGAACCACGTGGACGAAGCCAAGGAGTTCTTCCTCAACCCGACGGGGGCCGTAGAGACCATCATGATGAACGGAATGCCCACCTACATTGTGTTCTACAACAACATCTACAAGCACATGCTCAACTTTGTGGTTGACCACGACTACAACTACCTCAAAGGCTTCACGCACACACACTTTCCGACCACGACTGTCGGCAAAGAAATCTGGGTCTACAAACACTTATGAACTGCTCCTTTGTTTTGGTGCGTGTCTGTTTGACTGGGATACACCGTGTCGACATGTTCCCTGGTTTTTGTGGGCTCGTGGAAAGTCTCTCGTAAGTGTTTGTGAACATAGTCGACTTTCTCTGTGTGTGTGTACATTTCTTGTTATTTCGTGCTGTTCTAGTCTTTTTTTTTTTTTTGGTTTGGTGGGCAGCAACTTGACATGAAAGCAGACGGATTTGTCAAGTGAGGCCATGTTTGAAACATTCCTTGCGGGATATTTTTTTGGTAATAAAGTGCCTTTACGGAAAAGTGTCTGAATTCGTGTTGGGCTTGCTGATGTATCGTCCTTTCGTCACGAACAAAGTTTGAGGAGCAAAGTATTGAGACAACTGTAAATTCGAACACGTCCCGGCATGGTTAGTGATAGTTTTATTCACCGACATCTTAGTTTGACCTGGGTAAGTACACACACTGCTGGAGACCTTTGATGATGCTGCAGTGCTTGAACTCTAGTTGCATCTCTAGATTAGTAGCAGTGTTGTGCGGTCAAGAACACCCGTTTGTTTCAAGAGATAGGACACTCCAAACAGTTGCACTGTTGTTGACAGCATCATGAGGGACAATAAGAATGGTAACGGTTGTCTGCAAGCCGTTTGACATGCAGCGAGTGGTTGCAGAGCATGCACAGTTGCTCTTTGAATGACGTTATGCAACGAAATGCTTCCGATCACTCGTTTCATATGAACACAGTGCTTTTTGAAGTTGTCCATAATATTGGATCTGCCTTTTTACAAATGTTCCACCATATTTGGCAGTTTTTAATTTTTTATGTTCTGACATGGAAAACATTGATGCTAAAGTTGAGGCTTGGGCGAGTTGGTACATACTTCGGAAAAACATTGATGTAGTGGGTAGTGATTTTTCGGATATGCTATTTTCATGATTGCCAGGTTTCTGGTGATGCCTGAAGCTGTACTAAAAACACTTTCACTCCAAGAATCACTTGCATAGAAAATTGTAACTTGTTGTAACTCCCATACCTCCTCCCCTTTTTATCTTGTAAACTAGGTTATTATCGCTATATTTCTCGAATTATTTTTATCGCTTCCACGCAAAAAATATATAGTGTTTGAAATAAAGGGTCAAGCTTCTAAGATAGTTTCAGCATTGTGTTGAAAGTTATAGCTTTATATGAAACCTTGCTCTTTAGACAAGAGTGCACGATCCACTGAGTGCAGTTAATAAGAATAATTTTACTTTATCCCTCTTTCTTGACCACATGTCACACTATTGGCAACAAGATGTTTTGGTGGCGCCACATCGCGGGCGCCCTCCTGTGATGCAGTTGGTAGGATGCGAGCAAACGACACGCTATGTCAAAGCACGGAGTGGCTATGTTAGTTCGAAATTATGCACATTAAAGATAGTTTATTTATTAAAGAAACGCGTCTAATGTTTTTGTGAGGGATCTTTCTAATTAATAACAGCACCTCGAAGCTGCTTTTTATATTAGAAAAACTAATGTTCAGAAAAAAGTCTGGAGCTTCCCATTACAGCTTGCTCGACGTGCATCAGGGCTATTAATTCTTATGTTTTTCAAATCTGTGGAGTCTGCTCTAGAAGGTTTTGCATTCATCAGAGTAAATGGCGTGGTGTCTTCTTAGTTGTGCACGCTGTACAGTTGTGTTGCAAAGCGCCGCACACTTGTTTTAGCTACATCGAGCTTGCCGATACCGACGCTTCTATCCAAGTCGTTGGCAACTGGCGCTTAGCTCCTCCCGAATCGAATATGTGGCAAAGCAGTTTGTGACATCGCGACTTCTGCTCGAAAGAAAAGCAGAAATTTTCATAAATTCTTAAATGGTCGGCCATGGGCCAGTAAATTCAGATGAATGATTAGTTTGTTCTATCCTAATTTTACTAATAATTGTTTACAAATTTAAAGTCGCTCACTGAGAAGCGCACTGCGCATTTGGGTCTGCAACAATTAAACGTACAAAGGGTAGTAATTCATAGCAGGTGTGTACATCACTTTTTGGGACGCTGAAGTTTCACCGACTTACTAGATCTAAGACTTCGATCACTAGGGGATCTCGCACGTTTCGCGTCGACCAGCTGAATAAGCGGGGATTTAATTGAAATGACTCCAGAGGTCAGCCACTGTTTCTTCCTGCCAGTTATATTAAGGAAATACTGGCTTACAATATTTAAAAAAAGAATCAACTTGGAACATTGGAGTAAACAAGATACATGCAGTCGCTTTCACTAAAATGTTTACTACACACGCGAGAGGTTCTCGAATTTTGCTTTCCTATCTTCGATTTGATGAGACATTCCTTTCTTAGTTTTATTTTGTTAGAATTATAATGAAAAATACATCCTACTCGCCATGGTAGATGATGTAAGGGAATAAAGCGCTGGCTATTGTATTTTCATCATCCAGCTTTTTGTACTGGGGTAGTGAACAGCACACCGCCATAGGGGGGTTTCCCCAGGAATTTAATTTAGGGGGGTCTCTAAATTTTTAGGGGGGGGGGGGGCATTGACAGTAGAGGTGCCTTCGGAAAAACAAGGAAGGGGGGGGGGGGGGGGGGGGGGGGTAGCGAAATCACTGCCACCATTCGAGCACTTTAGCTCAGCGCTTAGCGCTAAAAGTTTTTGTTGGCACGACTATGTGTGCCATGTGCAATTTCAAACTTCGGTCAAATGTTCTAGAAAAATCACTTTACCAAATAAGCACTACGCCTGAAACAGGCTTTGCTGCGCATTACCCAAACAGCACATGAAGCGAGCTGACGAGCCAACCCAGGAAAAAATATCTAGTTGGTATCTAGCTGGTCCTAGTTGGTTCCAGCTGGTCCTAGTAGTTGGATTTAGCTGGTCCCAGTTGGTTTCAGCTGGTACCCCAGATCTATGCGTTCTGTCCCAGTCTGTCCTACTCGTGACGTCACAAACAATGATGATGATAGCTAGAGAAGCACCCTCTGCAGCTCGCACATGCTGCTAATGCCGGGGCTTCTGATATTGTCCATTTCAGCATAACTTTGCAAAGAGCAAAACCTATGGCCCATTTGAGCTAGTGAGAGCAACGGAGCAAAGCATGTGAATGCTTTGCTCCGTCGGAGTAAACTCCATGGTACATTATTGTTGCATGCTTCCCTCCAACGATCTTACTGGCTCATTGAGGCCTTAGTATTTGTCAAAAATGCTGAGTCATTGGGCTGTGTACGCATATGTGGCATCTCATATTCTGCAGAAGAAAGCTGGGCATGTTCAGAATGCGTTCCGTAGCCCAGTAGACAGACGCTAGCAAGCAGAAGGGCTTAAATTCCCCATCTGCCACAACGTGTACGTACTACACCAACACATTCTTTGTTTGGAATAACCATGTGGTTCGTCTTTCATTGCCACATGTATAATAATAATAATAATATAATAATATCTTTATTCAACCCTGGAGGGTTGCGGCACCACAGAAAGGCCATTGGCCCATACCTGAGGCCTGTATGCATGCTGATAAAGCTCTACTTGCCATCTGGCACAATATCAGTTTTTTTACTAATGACAACTGGGAAACAACTTGACTAAGGAGAGGAACCTGCTTTTTCTGTAAATGTTGGCATCATTGTTTTTATTCTGACCTGTCAGGGTAGTCTCAGTTTGTCAAAAGCAAATAATTTGTTAAGGGTGGCTCAGATTGTCATGGGTTCAGTGCCGTAAAAAAGTCGTTTCTTTGAAACTGGATATATGTAGGGTGTGTACTTTCCGGTGTTTATATGTGAGAAAAATCGGCGGATGTTTTTCGGTGTTTATTTATTTTCAAAGCACCGGTGTATTTCGGTGGAACGTCTCACGACTAGGCTAAAATCGGTGATTATCGGTGGAAAAAAATGGGATGGATCACAGACAGAGAGTTCCAATTTTATTCACATATTTCATACACTTCTTCTCTAGGAAGCATCTATTTTCCCACTTGGTTATTATAGTAGATGCAAGCATACTTCGAGAGGCTTGCTTCCGTCATGGCAGCACGTTCCTTGCGGTTCACAACCCGCAATTATGAAAACGCACGCTCCTGTATGACAAGGACGTTGGCAGAGTCTTCCAGGAACCACGGCAACCTCTGAATACATGACTTGCACCGACATCACTTGACCAGACACAATGGAGAAAGGGCACGTGAGCGCCTACCCTCCACTGCAATAACTTTTCCACAAAAGGGGGCCATGGGAGACACAATAGGGGAAAGGCGTGTGAGAGCTTAGCTTCCAATGCGTTCACTAGACGTTTTTGACCGCCAGAAAGGAGGGCGGACTGACGCCACGTGCAAGCCATGTATAAACACTGGAAGAATGCAAGAACCACGAGATAACACGTTTGACGAACCTCTACGGGGAAAGGGTTTTGCTAGGTCGGAAACGTGCAACGACCGGTGTTTTTCGGTTTTAACCAGGGCAAAAATACCCAACCACCGGTGTTTTTCGGTTTTAACTGATTTTATATTTTTGTCACCGACGGATGTTTATCGGTGTTTTTCGGTTAAAACCGGAAAATACACACCCTAGATATGTGTACATGGTTTGCTGATAGCGAAGATTTAGAAGGATAATATTTCGCCAAGACAATTTTGTTTGTTTCTTTGCTTCGTTTTTATATAGATATAACATGGATAAAGGTTTGTATTATAACATTTTACCGTTTTTAGTGCAAACTCGGTATTAACAAAATGTGTGCCATTTTGATGAATTTGTGACATTTCGCAATGGCAACACGTGCGTCCATCCCCTCGTTATAGTACACTCTACCCTCGTTGGTCCATCCCACTGGTCCATACCCCTTCGATTAAAATCTCCGGCTGTAGTACACTGTAGCTGTAGTAAACGCAATTACAGTGCAAGAAAAAAAAAACGGCTATAATTTTTTTTTTTTCGCTATAAACGTTATTTGGTGAACTGAGTGCCACCCTACCATGTCTGGCGTGTGCTGAGAGCGAATATTCCAAAGATTCACATGACACCCTCAAATGCGTCGTGTGGAGAAATGAAGAATGTTTCAACAACAAAAACTAACAAAATGATGGATTATGAACCCTCGGGTGGCACTGACGGGTGGTCGAACGTTGGCGAACGCCGTTTTCATCGAAATACACTTTAGTGAACGATCGGCAGCCGCCAAGCGGCGTTGACGGGCGAGCCAGGTGGGTTTACAGCTCAAATACACATTACGAGGTTTTGCGCATCATTTTTCCAGCAGTAAATTCGCGAGCAACGTGAAATGGAGGTATGGAGGTCACGCCGGTTCGCGTGACCTCCATTTCTGCAGACAGTCTGCATCGGCTATTCGGCTATTACACCACCTGGCCCACTCGCGGACGCCGCTTGCTTTCGGTGAAAAGTCCGCTTTCGCTAAAACGTCGTTCGACGAACTGAGTGCTACGGCGCCACGGCAGCTGGCCACCGACAGGGTGAGAACGCTATCAACGGCCATTTACGTCCGTCCGGCCCGCGCAGAAGTCATCATTTTGGCATATCCAAATATTATCCCCCGCGAAAGGGGTCCAAAAATTGCACCAACCCAGCTGTCAGCCGAGCGGCGCGGAGTGTTGTGTTTTGGTGTCAGCAGGGCCGCCCTCACTTTTCGATCCTCGGACGGCCGTGCTCCCCAAGATAAAGACGGTTGAAATGCGCTTCCTGCCCATTTCTAGACCCCGGAATAACAGTATAGCCGTTCGCCCCGAGGACAGCTCATATAAATTCAAAAGATTCGACATTAATATCACAAATAATTAATATTTATGATTTTATTATACTTTACAATAGAGATATAGAAACATCTCCATTCTTTTTCCCATCTTAGATTAAGGTAACACCAAAATATACATTAAAAACGCCTTTAAACAAACTTAGTTTCGTTGCGGCAGTTGCGAGAGTTTCATGGTTGACCGACTAGGACATACGTTTCTCGCTTTACTTTTCCACTTCTGTTGTGGTTGGTAACAATAAAGGTATAAGGCGTCTGAAACTATTATATGAACTATTATTTGTAGTAATTTATTTTTGACATTGATAGTTGTGATTTGGTCATAATCAGTTCAATTAAATAAAACGTTCCCACCGGTAGGTGGCTGCAAACCGAAACTCCGCATGTTGGTTCGGCGTGCGTCGCACACAACTTATGACCCTCGGGCCTCACTTGTAAGTTGTGTGCGACGCACGCCGATTCAACATGCGAAGTTCCGGCCTACTTAAACGTTTACAGTGGATTTTAACATGTTATTAGATATAATCACGGGCCATTTAATCGGTTAGGAAACTTCTGGGACTGTTTTATGAATCATGCATGTGGAAATCTCGGCCGTCTAGCTGACCGCATCACGTGCATTCGCTCTAGTTTTAACATTTTTATTTAAAAATGCCCATAAATTGTTGTCTGTGGCCTGACTTCACTTTAATTCCTCTTAATTCGCTTTGTCATCCTAAGCTTAATTTAACGTTTTGGTACCTTTCGTGTCGCCGACGTGTTTTCGCTCAAGGACTTTAAAAATCGAGTGAACCATGAAACATATAAAGCTTTCGCCTAAGAAAAAAAAAAAAAAAAAGTTCCGAGAGATACACATATTACGATAGTGCCGGCGGGGGTGCCGCATCACAGGTGACGTCGTATTGTTGACGCTTCGCAAAGGCACAGATCGTGACGTCACTGTCGCTCTTTTCTAAATTAGTTTTGGTTTGAGCAAGCCTGCGGAACTAAGGTAATTTGGCTGATAGTGCCCAAATACTTACACATGTTTATTACAGGTTGCAGTTGGAGCATATATCCTGGAGGTTGGACATCGAGTTTGGAAATGCAAATAAAACGTCTCTTTTAGTTAGCCGCCTAGTTGCACAGTTGTTTCTAGTTGTTGCCAAGTCGGGTAAGCTAATCCATAAAAGTGCCCCAATGCAACTATTATTTTAAAAAAAATTGCAGCAAAGGGAAAAAAAGAAAGAAAACCATATATAATAGGGACACAGATGAAATAAATTGTAATATATATTTATTTTTTTACATTGCTACCTCATCAAGAACTGCCATATTTTCAATAAGTTTAGGCTGGAGTCATTTTCCATCAGCCTGCCGCTAGTCCCTTGTACATTTGCCTCATCTCACCGGTACAAGCACATGATACATCCAACCGCCACACAGGAGTGGCAAAATGCGCTTACCGTATAAGGTTGTTTGCACATGACGTCAATCCGCCATTTTGTTGTTAGTTTGTTTTTTCAAACAAATTTACTACATTGAAGGATTACACCGTAACCGCTTGAAATGATGTCAGCGGTGCTCTACGCATTTGAGAACGCATGTAAATCCTTGAAATGCTCAAGTTTGGCACACGCCAGACAGATCGCAACAACAAAATGGTGGACGAAATTACGTCAGTGAAAACACCCTATATTGTACATAAGCTCTGCACTTAACATCTGCACGCAATCTTCCTCTTATTATCTTTCGGTTAAATATTATTTGTTGATCTCTTTCCCTCCTCCATAAACGAATAGCTGGACCTTTCGCTAAATTTCCAAAATCTGCGCGCGAAGTCCTTGCCTCCGTAGCATCCACCACGTGGTACTGAAGAAAACGAGAGGGGGGCAGCGCAGTTTCTCGCATGATCATGCCCTCGCCCGCGTTTTTGTATGTTCTAATCAAATATTTACAAACCAGAATTGACTGCAAGATATGTTCTGTTCTCTGCAGTTCCCGGGATCCCCATTAACCCCTCCCCCTCCTCCAGCCTCCGTTTGGACAGAGGAGTTTCTGCCTTGCAGAAAATTGACATAGATACAATCTCAACATGTTGTCAGTTCACATATCAAATGGAGCTACATTGCTGAATCGAGTTCAGCAATTATTAGTGAGAAAATAGTGCATGAATAACTGTTTAACCCGGGATTAACTACAATAATGAAAGTCTGCACAGAGTTGTTCTGCTACACATGAAAAGTGAATATCCATCAGACAAAGCAGGACTATAGAAAGGGATGATAAGTAGTACAGAGAGCCACACTGCCCTTCACTTTACTTCTTAGCTTTTTTTTACTTCACCCCAATAACAACCCGCGAGCTTATTATGCGGAGAAAAAGTTTGTCTGCTTCTTTCACAGGGGTTGCGATAACCCCTGTGAAAGAGGTTATCGCAGTAAGGGCTCAGAATGCCAAGCCCTTACTGACTGATCGAAAAAATAGTGGGTGGACCTAAAGGCACCTAACACTGAGGTCTGCCCACTATCCTTTCAATCAAAGCCAATCGGAACTCGGCGTCGTTCTGACGTTACCGCAGCTCCTGCGCAAAAAGCAGACGACTTGCCCTCCGCATAGCCTTTCTAGACAACTCTATATGCTGTTGGTCTCAATGCAGACTTTGGTTTCTGTGTTTGCCAAGTGGTTCTTAGAGGAACATTCGAAGGGAATTATAATGGTGCTTCTAGCTAGGAACGTGTTAGAAGCTCTCCTTGGCTGCGAAGCAAGCGTTACAATTTTCACATGTTACGACACAGTGCGCATATCAAAGGATTGCCTATGCCTGTGTGCACATACGAACAAGATCTCTGAAAAATGGAGTACATCGAAACAGTCGCATTGCTAAGGGAGGGCAGTGCCGTGACGGACCACAAGAGCAGGAGGGCGGTGTTGCAGCGGGCTCGGGTGCGCCACGTCCAAACATCCACAAGAGGTGCCATTTTTCAGCTTCTACAACACACCCCTCGTACAAGTCGCAGGAATAACAAAATGTATGTTTAGTCAGCTTCAACATTTTGATCAGTATTAAATGTTTCGTTACTATGCTCACATTTCTGTGTCGCAACAGTGCAAGATGCACATACCCTTCGGCTCCACTGCTGCAAAAACGTTTTGTCCCGGAGCATAGCAAAATGCTTCCAGCTTTGTGTGATAAACACTTCAGTCCCACAGGTTACGCTACTTATAACTGAAACGTTGCCTAAAACAAAGACAATGACTCAGACAGTTGACATTTCATCCTTTAATTAAAATACTGACATTTCTACATCCATCACTGGTATTGCAGTCTATGCGCAAGGCTGTACAGAACTCGTCAAATTTCTTTTGAAGGAACCAACTCGTGCCAAACTGCAAACTGGTAACATGTTTGGTCTAATTTATTCAACAAAACATTACGAGCCATTTTTTTTTTCTTGCAGCAAAGGACAAGTTAATGCAAGATCCTTTCTTCGAAAACTCTACGTCTCGCAAACCTCCAGCGATTCAAATTAGCGGCTTAGATGGCTGGCGCGTTCAAGATCCTATATACAAGGCAAACGGGGCACATGATGATGATGGTAACCAACTGAACACCTTGGAATGTACAGAAGAAAAAAAAAACCTAAAATAACACAGAAAAAAGTGAGCAACTCTTTAAGAGGGCCATCAATGCTTGATGCTCAATGGGAGGGTAGAATCATACCCCGCAATTGAAAAATAAACTCTCGCACTGCCTTGCAATTGAATCACATACTCTCGCACAGCATTGCAATTGAATTACAAACTCTCACACAGCATTGCAATTGAATCCCAAACTCTCGCAGTGCATTGCATGCAACCTGCAGAAACAGGTCTGGGGATAATGCAGTTTGGCTCTGCCCATGAGTTTCTTTGCCAACCCAGTCATTCGCTGCTGCTACATGCCCTGAATCGCACTCCAAATGCCCCGCCCCATTGCCGCCGCCACGTTAGCAGTGCCAAAGTGCGGCGTATCGCACACTGAAGCGTCGTAATGTCGTCTCGTGGCATCCGGACAAAACGTGCAATGCGATGCACTGTCAAAGGTTTAGTCTGGAACTGGTAATATGGCGGCTTCCTGGTGGTTTCGCCAAACCGCTACCCAGAAAACAATATTGAGGTAGTGCACCCAGCTCAAATTACGGTGCTGGCTACGAGGGTCGCTGGGTATCTTCAGACTCCCAAGTTTTTCCTCAAAGGTGCGTCGAACTCAACCCCAAATTTCTTTTCAACGCATAAAACATGAATGGCAAAAAAACAAGTTTTCCCCGATCAAAAAATTTTGTTTGTCTACAAGTTACGAGATTAATTACGAGAGTAATATAGAAACAATGTGCCAAAACGAAAACGCGCGTTTCGGAATAGCTCTTTACTCAAATCAAATCTCAAAAAAATAAATACTGGGATAAACAAATTTTTTTCGGGGAAGCATACTGCGTTACTTACGCATCGAAGCTGTTAACAAAAAAGTTTTTAGGAAGTTCGGCGTCTGTATAAAGGTTACGATAAGAAGAACCTGTTGTGCCATCAGATACTTGCATTGATGCAGAGCTCCCACAAATGCGCGTGTTGTCTATTCCTCGTTGGTGCCCATTGCAAACACAAAGCTGAGGACAGCAAAACCAACGGCGCACGGCAATGCGCCTTGAACGGAGGAGGCGCGCAAAATAAATAATAATACTTCGTATTCACAACCAGTCGACCGTTTGCAATGATCGTGACGGGGCTGCAGTTCGGTCGGCAAAAAACGTAACCCGACGTTGTCGCGCAAATTTCTCAAGCAACCGTAATGCCCGACCGTGCTCCCCACCTATCGGAGGACGCCGTTTGAACACCGACGGAGAAAGACAAAATATGCTACTCCGAGAATACCGGGTAGACCGTAAATGGACCTAACCTTTTTTGGCGTGGAAGACCGACAAAGAAAATGCGAAGAAAAACTAAACAACCCGAGTGCCCTTCCTTCCATTCTAAAAGGAACGCAAAGAAAACGCCACACTTTCTACGTTTCTCAAAGTTCCATCACTTTGTTAGTGCAATAACGACGAGGAGCAACGCGCTCACAGTGGCACCAACCGGAAAGTTACGTCGAAGAAAGGCCGGCGTGCCCGATCCCGCCACGACGGCCGAGAGAAACATGGTTTGCACGCGTGGGCCAAATGAACTTTGCCATAAGAAAGAAAACAAAAATGTAGCGTAAGATTCACGTCGCGAGAGGCATTTTGAGTCGGAAGCGATTCCAAAACGTGCTTATGTGCAAGACGTCGACCCCAAAACAGAGGCACTGAATAGAAGCGCGTCACAACACTCAAAACCCCTTTCGCGACCCAAACATTACGCCAAACAAGTTTTCTCTTTGGGGACAATTCGTTTCGCAGCGTTGTGTCCACTTAGGGCACCTGAAAAAAAGTGTGTTGTGGGGTTTCCTTCGGTGTTGTCGATTGTTACTTCCGCAATGCCGGATGCTTGGCTTTCCGGCCCCCTTAGATGAGCTGCGGCCTGGTGACGGCAGGCAGCAGGGAGTTGACGCAGTTGACCCAGAGGTTGGCGCAGGGGGAGTGGTACTCCCGGCCGCTGTAGCTCAGCTTGGAGGGTGCAATGTCTGGATTGTCCACGTGCAGGAGGCAGACCCCGCAAGCCTTGGCTGTGCTCTCTGCGTCCGGAAGCCACTTGGGGTCCTGCACCGGTGGCGCCTCCAACGTCTGCGGTAGGCACGCGAAACAAGTTGGGGAAACGAGTGCTCTTAAAAAACATATGCAAACGAAACCAACATTTTTTCGGACAGCCTGGATGGAAAAGGATGTCATAAAATAAATTTACGATGAAAAAAAATTTTTTTTAGGGCTACATTTATGGCACGAAACAACTTTCTAGTTGGCGCTTGCGGGGGTCGCGCAACTCGCAACCATATTCACATGGTGCTTGCACTCTTTCGGGAGCTTCCTGTGGGCTGTAAAAGTTACTTGCGAATCTTTGTTTTCAATGCAACGAAGAAACGAAAATTAATAAGCAATTTTTAGAGCCCATAAGAAGCTCCCTAAAGAGCGCAAGTACCACATGATAGACCTGTGCGCCGGTCAAAAATTGACGGCGGCGGCGCGCCGGACTGGAGGAAAGTTGCTAAGTAATGATAATGATCATAACCTTTTCTGAATTTATAATTCTTTTATTCTTCAATTGCAGGGGTGGAACTCATGAAATGCACTTGCGAGCAGCCATGGGAGTAGCTGAAACAGCTGTTTTGGAGCAGGTTGGGAGCAGCTAAAACTACATTCTGGAGCAGGCTAGGAACAGCTCAGATCAGTTTTCATTGAACTTCAGCTTGTGTCTTAGATGAGCACGGGAGCAATTTCAATTGTGCTTAGCAGTACAGATGAACATGAGTGGCTAGGGACCTAGGTAGATGGGATAACAGTGGAACAGATGCGAAAACTTGAAATTTGTGAGCCTTAATGAGAACCAAAAAGCAAGTACCATATGTTTCTGAAGATAGTGCCCTTGGTATTTTCTGAGTGGCTTTCAGCTGATCAAAATGCAAAACAGCTCTGCTAATCGCACAACCCACACGTGCTCGACATAGCAATTATATGTGTGAACCACGTGACGTGCGTAAGCAATGGACGTGCAGTTGCGCGGAAGAACAGGACAACAAATTTCGAGTTTATCCTATTGTGCAACTCAATATCGAAGCAGCAGATTACAATTAACGGAGTTATCGTATTAGAAGCGATAAGCAGGAGCAAGGTTAAAGTATGTCGAGCAGATCTAGCGCTCACGTGAGAGCTGCTGGCCGGAAAGGTTTCGGATCGAACCGCGTTTCAGTTCTATCAAATTACAATTTATCTTACGGGAATGCGGTTCCAACTTCTAACGATAAAGTACTAAAGGGAATCTTTTGCTCATTTGTTTTCAACTGGCTGACGTCCGAAACCCGGGCCGCAGAGTCTCAGGCAATCTGACGCATAACGACTCGACCTCGCTTGGCCAACTTGCTTAACCGCTGATGGTTGCAGAATAACAATCCAGTCGCAGGTGGTGTAGCGCTTGGAATCCGACCCCCCAAGTTTTTTTGCGCACTTCTGACTTGGGATACACAGGGAGAATAAAGAGAACAATGGATTGCAAGGCCAACCAAGCTAAATGCGCTCATTGTTGCTGATTGAGTCAATAAAAACTGAAACCAAGACAAAGTAAAATTTTTTTGGCGCACGTTTTGCGATTTGGCACATAGTGGTGCGAGGTATCGGCTGTGGCGCAGTTTCCGCAACATGGTGCAGGATGGCACAGACAAATGTGTCTGGCGCAAGATGGCGCAAACGGCCCAGCCGTTTCAATTCTAAACTGGACAGGACTCGTGAAGCTTTAGTTTTTTTATTTGAAATAATATTTTAAATTACTTTCTGCGTACAAAGATAAAATAAAACCCGTTCAGCCGGTGCCGTTGCCACATGCTTGACATGGCGTTCAGCCTGCGGCAGCGGCGGCGCACAGGTCTATCACGTGATCCCTATGGCCACTTTTCTGCAGGCTCCCGCGGGTGCCAACTGCAACTCTGTTTCACGCCATAAATATAGCTCTAAAAATTCTTTTCATTGTAGGTTTATTTTATGATGTCCTTTTTCCTTTAGGCTGTTCAAAAATATTCTTTTCTTTTGCATGTTTTTTAAGGGGGAACACTGGCTAGAGATTTAACTTATGAACTACTTAAGTGATCGGAATGAAATTTGCAGGGGAGATTTAATGCCAGATGTAGGTGTACGGTGCAAACTTTCAGCTCTTTAGGATAACTTTACATACCTGCATAAGAAGATGTGTCACTCTTCATTAAGAAATCTATGATATGCAAATGAAGCTATTAAGCACCATTTAATCTGCTAGAATATAAAGTGGAGGATGTTAAACTTCGGGCTATCTCGTTTTTATAACTCTAATGTAAGTATTTCAGGAAGAGTGAGTACCTGAAAATATGGGATGCATATTTGTTCTATGTCAATTTTTTAAAACTTTTTTTTTCAATGAGGACTTTAATGTAAAACAAAATAAAATAGACAGCCCGATTCCTTAGTAAATTTCAGTTCAGAAACATCTTGATTGTGGTATCAAAATAATTTTACCTTCAAACAAAAGGTTCCTTGATATAAAATTTGCAGCAAAAAGCAGAACTGAGAAAAATGCATTCAAACATTGAACCCCTTTACTTCGTTACTGCCTCACAATATGTTGAAAGTATTTTATATCAAAGTAACTATATGGTGTATGGTTATCAAATTTAATGTCGGGCGTATAATCAGTTTCTAAAACCAAAAACCTCAAAATTAAAAAATGAATTTTTTTTTTACATATATTTTTTATTTAGGCCCGTGTCCCCCCTGAGAAAAAAAAAGAATTAGAAAAACATAATTTTTCTTAAATGTGATTTTGGATTTTATTTTGTCATTTCTGAACCTTTACCCTTTAAGTATAATAAAGTCAGGACCTAATATAATCGCAAAATTAGCCAAATACGCATCTGAAGTAGTCTTGGCGACCCATAAAGGCATACGTTTGAGAAATTTTCGTGCTTGCAGTATCATATGTATTTTAGGATGTAGGCCTAGCTGTTTTCAACTTGTCACATCCTTCAGTATCTTCAATATCTTGCGTAATATTATAACGAAAAAAATTGTTTCCTGCCGCAAAAGAGTGTTACGACGCAGCATTGAAATGTATTTTTCTCAATTTGCAATTTTGGGGCATCTTTGCAGTTTATGAGCAAGAACGTCTGCACTTGCTATCACTACCAAATGTGGCATGCATATGCTTTGGGATCTGTGGAATGCAACTTTTTAAGATTTACAGTTACAACATTTTAAACAAAACTTTTGTCAGTCCTTTGATTTTTTTTTTTTTTTGTGATTTCCAGAGAGAAAGTTGCACACATAATATTTTTCTCATTCAGTGCACTCAGTGGTTCCTAAGGAGTGAACAAACTTATTTTACGCTGTTCATTCAATTTTTTGTCACGCTCCACACGTGGGCAGGAAACTTTGTTTGCATACAGATAATTAGAAAATTTAAAAAAAAAATGTTATGTCAAAACTGGCGTCAAATTTAGATAAAGAAGGTGAAGCACAATAGCTGCCCCTTTGAATCGCCATCCCTCGTTTGACAGGTCCTTTAAGGCCAGTCACTCGATGTGGCAGGGGCACTCACAAAGAGGCAGGAGTTCTCCAGGAAAGACGAGATCCGCTCCCAGATGCCCTGGACTTCGGAGCAGAGCTGTTCCAACCGCTCCGACTGCATCCCCGTTAGCCTCGACGAGAGTGCAATGCGCTGCCCCACCTTGTACACCTCCGTCATGTCTGCGAGGAAGACACAGGCCCTTTCCAGACTACCTTGCGAGGCCCTCTTTCGGGTCTACGCAGAGGGCCACAAAAGAGCTGGAGCAATACCTCTTTCCCCTCCCTAATGGCGACCTTCCTCGATAATGCGTGCATGCATATACAGGGTGTTTTAACAGCCAAGCTCTTATGTACTAAGATCTTGAAAAAAAATGCGTCCATTGACGTTAAACAAAGAATTCCCGTTTAAATGGCGCTCCTTCGTTCATATTGGTCGTGAGAAGTATTACATAAAAAGAGGGGGCAACCCTCGTGACTCAGCCTTCCTTGGCATTATTAGATAGTGAGGCCCTGATCCATCGTTACCATCTACGGTCACCGACTTATCTCGGCTAAGAGTGCGCTGTGATGATGCTGATAAAGAGACCTGGGCTCCATCGGGAAAAACTGTCCTCCAAGTGTGCATCCAAAAATTGGGTTTAGAACTTGCCCAGAAGTGACCATAAGGCAATGATCACTTTAGTCACTAAGAATTAAATCAAAACAATTAAACAACGAAGTCATGTACGCGTCTTCGTGGCAATCATATGTAAATCGTATAGATATTGTATAGTTGTGGTAAAGATAACAGCTTTGCTGATCCTCCATCAAGAAAGTCGCAAAAACTGCGCTAATGCGGTTTCTGCAGGTGTGTTGTATGGCCAGAAGGACATAACAGGGAGGACTAATCGCCACAATAACTAAAATATGTTAATTACCTCTTTAATTAGTGAAGATAAACATACAGTTCCAATTCGAAACTCGCCGAGCGTTGCCAAGAAGCACTACATCAGTCTTACATCATCTTACAAGAACCACTACATCAGTCTTACCACTACATCAGTCTTACATCAGTCAGCGTTGCCAAGAACCACTATATCAGTTAACCTTAGAGAGACTTTGGGCGTGTGGAAAGCACGGTGGAGCGCTAAAATTGCCGCTCTTGCAGCAGGAGCGAGGTTACTGCACGCGGTTTCTCCGTCTCTTATCGTCTGCCTCTTCTCACCACCAGCATCGTGCCTGTAGCACAAGTGGTAACATTAGCGCACTACCGCACTTCCCACGTGCTCAAAGGCTTACCGGAAAGGGTAAAGGCTTCGTAAGACACAGTTAGATAGGGTAGTTCAAAATTTCAGGATTACTACTGATCCAAGCACAGCCCTCCCGGTGGCTCCGGAGCCTCCCTCTAAGGCGTTCCCTGCCGGGGACTCACTGCGCATGTAGGTGGCGCCTTCCTCCGTCTCGAGAGCTTCCCTGCAGACCTGGCTGCTGGCCTCCTTGTTGAAGACCGCCTCTGCCTGGAGCAAGAGCTCGCGCACACTCTCCAGGCACCAGGCCCAGTTGTCCACGCTGGCCGCCTCACCCACGGGCGTCCCACCCTGCAATGTCAACGGATGCCCTACAGTTCCCAGCCACGAGTTCCTGTAAACCGGGCGTCTGAGGACCCCCAGGTACGGTGCTCGAAAAGTGTCTCTAAAGGACTGTCCAAACAGGCAAAAAAAAAAGAAAGAGAAAAAGCAGGCACACTTCTTAAGAGGCGTGAATGTTTCAGCGTGTGCATCCTATTTCAGCGAGGACACCAACGCCGCGAACAACGTGGCTCTTCTTCTCGCATCTTCGCTGTCGTCTCCTCCCCTCTCATTTTTTGGGGACGATGCAAGTGGAGGGAAGCTTTCCCTCCGGCAAAAGAAAATGTACCGAAGCAGACCAGAACCAGAGGAAAACTTTCACTTCTGACACAGCAAATACCGCATCTGTAAACAATGCTTCCCGTTTGGACAGCCCTTGACCGGTTTGTTTACTGTGGCCTCAAATGTGGTCCCTCGATTTCTGCTCGGTGACGTCCCGCCCGTGACGTGCTATTTATTGCTCGCCGCAATCCTGGGGAGGCACGGCAGCGGAGCTGAATACGGCAGATGCTCGCTCCGCCGTCGACGGTATGTGTAAACTTCGGCAGCCAAGGTTTGAGACGCGGCAGCAACTGCAACACTCGTGGTTTCTCATCCTTCTTTCCGGAACTTCTACGGCCAGCCACCGGAATCACGACATCTTATACACCCTAACATGCCGGCTCCCACGCACGATTTGCTGCCGCTTTGGGACCACTTTCGACACTTTGGTGTACGAGACATCAAATACTGCCGTTGAAGACGTGCCCTAGTTCCCCGTCCCCGAGGTCCCCCGGCGACGGGGAACGGACACGGGGGCCTGGAGCCCGTCTTTAACCGGTGCACATCCTGTATCACCCACATGTCGGAAGCGGTCCCGAAGTGGCAACATATCATATCGCGGGAGTCGGTTGGTCGTAGGAGTTCCGGTGTAGGAGAAAGGCGAAGCCGAGTTTCGCCATCGTCGTGACGTCCCAACTCTTGGCTGCCGAACCCTTTGTGAACTGTCGAGCTGGGGAGAAATCTACGGAGGGACGGGCGTCTGCTGAATCCCCTTCCGCCGCTGTGTCACTGCCAGGACCGCAGCAGGTTACGGCGTTACACTTCTACGACGTCGTCAGGCGGGAATCGAGAAACCACAAATGGGCACAGATTAAACGCTCATGTTGAAGATGCGTTCCAGGCAGCATACCCAGGGAAACCATTGTCCCAAGCATCCAGATACTTGCGACTCTACTTGGCCCTAACTTATGGGCCCACAGAGTTCCCGCGTGCAATTTGGCCGTAGCCGAGAACCAGAAAATCGCTCCTTTATCTCCAGTGCTTATGTCATTTGTTCAAAACTTCGTAGCAAGAGTCAAGAAATTAAAAACTCACTCACAATAATTTCTTTTTCTGTCGTAGTAAAAATTATTTGCCATTGAAACAAAAAAAAAGCTTAAGCATGATGATTGCAATATGGCGTGCAAGTGGGTAAGTATGCATAAAACAGAAAGAGCTTTCCCAATGTCAAAATAGTGTCATCTCCCACCTAACTTCGTGGGTATAATTTCTGCGAGCCTGTGAAAATTATAAATAGATAAATTTCTGCTAACATCGGAGCCATGGAGGATCCAATGCACACACCAACCCTCTGAACATATTTCCAACCCTTATGTTCAACAACTGTTGCCTGAAGGTAAAATTCAAGAGCAGAAAAAAACCTGTCTATGGCGATACCTATCTTAGACTGGAAGTTTACCACATTCAACTCTAGCACTTGCCTAACTCTTTGCAACAAGCAAACCTTCTCTAGTGAACAGTACAAATCCTCGATATCCATGGACAATACAGAACACTGTTTTCCATGAAACACCCTCAGAACATCAATTAGTGCTTCTGAATTCCTTGGTGCAAGACTCTGTTCCAACTGAACTACCTATATTCAACCCTCTTTGTAGAAACTTTGAGATGCTACATTGCCACGTTCCAAGTTCATTGATCACCGTGCGAAGGGGCATATCAGCCTTAATGCCTTATGATCTTTCAAGAAATATTTTACACTTAACAAAGACTGTTTGGTTCATTAGTACTTGTTTTGCTAGAGATTCCATCTCATCGTCCTTGTGGATTGTAACAGGTTTCCTTCTAATCTTCCAAATGTCCCCTTTACTATTCAACAAAAAGCGTGCTGAGGGCCTCCTCTAGCACAGTGGTTCTCAACCATCGATGTTTCGCGGACCCCTTGTGGATCGGCGGAGATGATGGAGGACCCCGTTCGTGGTGAGGGGAAGGGGAAAGTATAGGTTAATTATGATAAGGATTTAATAAATTGATATGACTATAAGATAGTGTGAAGTAGAACTCTCTTATTGACATACATACACACAAGCAAACTCGCCCAAAGACTGAAACATTTCTTCTCGACCTGAAAAAATGCTATCTTTATTGCCGGACTTGACTGATGAGGTAGGTTTCGCGGACCCCTAAAAAGCCTTCACGGAACCCCATTTGAGAACCACTGCTCTAGCAGAAAGGCTATTGGAAATGAAATTTAAAGATGGCCATCAACAAAAGGAACAAACAAGGAATAAGATAGCACTGATCCCATATTTCCATGGGATTCCCCATAACCTAAAGGCTTGTGCAAAAAAGTTTGGAATAGACAAAGTATTCTCCTCAGATTTCGAAATGAGTGGTTTGACGCCATTTCAATCAAACCATAGAGGCTGCCAGAAGGCTAATCAGGAACCTTCAGTTCCTTGCGTAGAGAGTGTGGCGTATGAGATACCGTTAGCATGTGGGTTCAAGTACGTGGGACAAACCTTGAGATGCATTAATTGACAGGTTATTAGAACATCAAATAGATCAAACTCGGAAATTGCAAAGCACATTCAGGAATGCAACAATTGTACTGTGTAGTGGTCAGAGACGGAAGTTCTCCATAAAGAGCGGAATGACATAAAGAGAGTCCTTAAACAAGCAATAAGGATAAAGTCTAGCGGAAGCTGCATAAGCCGAGCCTCAATGCAACTTGGAAGCCACAGCAAAAAGTTCCTCAGATTGTAAATGACACCCTAGAGTTTTTGTTTTGTTTTATTTTTGAAAGAAAGAAAGATGTTTGAAGCAGTGTTAATATTTGGAAAGCTTTGCCCGGGTAGGGGTACAAAGCGCAGCAGTTACCGTGTTCCTGAGGTCAGCCAGACGTAAGTCCCAAAACCCATTCCCGTTGTCCTTGATGATAAGGGCATTGTATTCTGGGTTGGACCAAATCAATCTCTTGTAACAGTATATGTTTTCCATTTTCTAAAATGCTCTCAACCAAAGAAATATGTGCAAAGAAGGTGGTTGACAATGATGGTATCGTGGGTTGGGCCATTTGTTTTCTCGTGAATGTGTATGTTTTTTGTATTTGAAAGTGCCTTCAACAAAGAAGATCTCTGCATAGACGGCGGTTGAGGGCTGTGTGGGTAAAATATAGGATGCTTGAGAAATAAACCAAAAGTTAGGGTGCAAACAAGCTGGTGAAGGTTCAATCTGTACCCTATAAAACCACAGTATTCTGTCCAATAAATTTCAGCTGTGTTTGAGACTGTGTTGTGTCGTCCTTTTTCCCCCCCAGTCTCGGGGTTTTGTCCAAAATGTTAAATAAACCAGTTAGCAGAGTTTGAGACGTTCCCTTTTGTGTCTGTACCTTCGATTAAAGGTTTTTTCCTTTGCTCCACCACAGTCTCAAGCGTAAAACAAGTGGAGTTGACGAAGCGCAGGAACAAGCAGACGACGAGAGGTGGCAAGACGCACCCCGGTGGCGTGAAAGCCATGGCAATGGAAGAACAAACGTTGTGGCCAACAGTAGTCATGCGCTCCATTGATCGGGCGCCTTGGCCAATCACTACTTTGCAATCGCGAGGCAGGGAGGCGCTGATCACGTCAAAACTATGCTGCGGACACTATTTTGAAGGGCGGCAAAAAGAAGAAACAAATCTCTGCTTCAAGACCAAGATGGTGGCCCTCTGCCAAGTTGAAAGAAAGCAGGAATCGCTCAAAGTCCGGCTCGATTTTGCCTCTTTACCGCATTTTCGTAGCTGCAGGAACCTGGTAAATATTACAGCCGAGCTGTTAAGGGCTACGTTCCCCAGGATCGAGTCCAGTACCAAACTCGTGTCGACACAAACCTACACAAACCTCTGGACAGCTACCGCCATCTATAAGTGACGGCGGCAAGCACACAACCAGTCTGGTTGCCGCCGTCACTCGTAGATGGCGGCAACCTTTCCAGCTATCATAGAAGAATGGATAGTTGGGCGCGTTGGTAGAAATTCATCGTAGGAAACAGCGCGAAAAACAGTCGAGGACAAAGAAGAAACACACGTGACGAGCGCAGCACTCGTCACATGTGTTTCTTCGTCTTCGCCTGTTTAGCGCGCTGTTTCCTATGCTCTTATCAGTTTCGGTTAAGACTCAGGATGGTTCGGCTGCGTGCCCTTTTGAGGAAAGAAGACTGGGTGCGGAAGGAGTGGCGACGTACGCAGCAGAGCGAATGGGTCCACAACCGACACAAAGCCGCTGTCGCCTTGACTTTCACTGCGTTCACCGCTTCAGACTGCCTTGCGAAAGAAGAGCGCATCGCTCGCCTGGAAAGGCGCCGTCTTAAACAGAACCAGCGATGTAAACGGCGCCGGTGGGCCATGGAGGCCAAGTGCAAGCCCGAGGCCCGGCGACGACAGTACTCCACGCCGGCTGAACAATTCCTGCGTGTGACAGCAAGGTTCCGGAGGGAATTCGTGGAGAACCTGAGTGCGACCACCAGAGATGTATCCATGATCGGCGGCCAGTCGGACAAGAAGAAGCGGGAAACGGGCGCATGCACGTTTCGGCAGTGTATTGAGTTTGCGGATGTCTACAAAGAACCGGCGTGTAGAATGTGCCGAGATTCCTTGCTCCAAGGCGTGGTGCCCCGGTTCGCGACCGTGAACGGCTACAGGAACCCACCCCTACCGGAGCACCTACCGAGCTTGGACGTGGTGGAGGAGCGACTAGTGGCGCCTCGACTCCCGTTCATGAGCCTTCGGCGGTTGATGTGGTATAACAAAGACAACCGGGGACAGTACGGATGTCACAAAACTAATTACCCAATCACACCTTAATCCTTACATTTATAGTTACTTCATTTTCACCATAGTACAGCTTCGCTAGTTTTCCTTCTTCACGAAAATGGAAAGGCTGAAAGTTTTTTTCTTCAAAACATATTTTCTCGGCGAATTAGGTGTTGACAATTACAGAGGAGTTAGTTTATGGAATATACAATCCAAAAAAGTAATTTTCCAAAAAATCAAGTTACATACAAAATCCCCAGAGTGACCCCGTACAGTATTCTTGTCTTGAGCCGAGTCAGTCATTCTGGATCAGATTTTAATGCACATAAAAAGTGTACCCAAAGTTTTTTTTTTGCAAAAAGCTGGGATTGCCCAAATACGTAATAGTCATTTTTCTCACATTCCTTCCAAAACTTTGACTGCAAAAAGACACTAAAGCGACAATTTTGGGGAGATTGCTCGAATATTTTGAGAGACTGCCCAGACGCTCCACGCCTCCCGTTGTGCTTTGGCCGCGCAGGCGCGCTCCACGTGCCTGCGCTGTCCAGGGTGGGAAACTCGCGGGACAACCAAAGTGCCTCTCTGCCACTCTCACCTCGTCAATGACCCTAGCGCAGAGCCGTATATGGGGACAGTTTGGCAAGTCTATGATCTCGCCGCCGTAACACCCCCCTCCCGAGCAAGCCAATCAGCCCGCGGCGCAGAGCAAGAGGCATGAGCGCATGCGCGTGAACTCTCCGCTGCTCCCAGCTGAGTGCGGAGGGGCGCCATTTTCATTCATTTGCCTGGCGGAATGCATGGGATCGACATCCAAATTTCGAGTCTTTCCTTCTATTTGGCAGACTCTGGCAAGAAAATGATGTAGTGTTATTCCTCGGTGGCTTAAGAAACTAACGAGTTAAGTTTCTTCATGTTTGAACGCAAACTTCGATCCAGGCGAAAAATAAATTAGGCCGTACCAGACGACGCATAGCCTCAACAGTGCTCTTGCGCCGACAGCGTTTCTCCAAAATGGCGGTCGTCTCCTTTCTGCTCCCTTCTTGCTCTCTCACTCCTTCGGCGCTCTTCTCCCTTTCCTTCACTTTTCTCCTCTCCGGCGCCTTCGTCGCCACACCCACTGGCCAAACTCTCCCAACATACGGCTCTGCCCTAGCGTTGCCAAGTTGTCCGACATGGTGGTGGGAATCGCAGCAAAAAAGACCTTTACCTGGTTCCCCTCCCTGATGACGCTGTACTTGTCCAGCAGCGACACGGGCTGTCCGACAGAAACCGCAACTTCCGGCTGCGTGTCCGAGGTCGTGTCTGCACGAGAAAGCGCGTCGCTCGCATCAGACCCAGGCGAGGAGTGTCCAAGCTCGAAAGCGAAAGCTTGAGGTCTTACCCCCCCAAAAAATTCCTGCCAACGCTTGCACTTGAGTTTGTACTGTTTCAAACGTGTCTCAAGGAAACAGATTTCGTGGGCAACTTTTCGTGGACGAACGTTTCGTCTACACCGTGGCGTTTCACGAACATACATTCCTGCGACGTTTCTTTGACGACGTATTGCTCTGGTTTTTCAAGTGAGTAATGAAATGTGGTAGCCGCTAAGAGCTAGCACGTGATTCACTGAGGTGTGTTTATCCGAGTCTTGGGCCTAACCTCCTGGTCTCTCTTCCCGTAAACCAGGTGACACGCAAAAAGGTTGTCGTGAAAACAGTAAAGCTGTGTTCAACGGGACGTTGCAAGGCACGCCGACGAAACGAACGCGGGAGGCCTTTCGAGTAAACAGACCATCTATGCAACGTCACACGGCGACAAAATGATCTATCGACGAAACATAGATCAATGGACTGGTTCTTGTTGGTCAAACTCCAAAGGTTTGAGGGCTGACGGTGCTTCGAATGAGCTTCGAAACAACAAATGCCCGTATAGTCTGCGCTTGTAGATGGTGCAAACCATCTACGGTAGCAGACTACACGGGAATTTGTTTTCTCCAGATCCGTCCATTATGACGACATGCAACGAATTATGTGAATGAAGGAGTGTTAGAGGAGGTTAATGACGGTTTACCGTATTTACTCGCAAAATGAACGCACTTTATTTCCCGAAAGATTGACAGATATTTGGGGGGGGCATTCATTACACGGGGTAAAACTTTTGCATTTACACACTTCAAGGCAAATGACGTATTAGGTGCCAATATGACACGGCGAGGTACTGTGGGACGTCTCCAGTGGTGGTGGAACACCCGCGGCTGGCCGTGGGCACGCCACAATAACCATGCTTTATAAACTGCAAACCTTTTTAGGGCACCTTCGGGGTGCCTTTTGCTGCAGGAAAAGCGCCCTACGAAGCTCACTCAGCACGAAAAGCAACACGTTCTTAGGCGATATATATTGCTAATATCCGGTGGGCACGCCGGATACTGCAACTACGCACTTGCAGCCACTACGTGAGCAGCCTGGCTTGGCTTGACTTGGCCTGACCGCTTGGCGGCAAAAAAAAACTGGCTTTGTGGCTTTCTAAATTGAACGCAGTTCGAAACTCGCGGATCCGAAAATTGGAGGTCCGTTGATTACGGGAAGGCAAAAAAAAAAGTCAAAACGTTGATGCCCGTTGGGGGGGGGGGGGGTGCGTTTATTGTGTCAGTGCGTTTATTATGCGAGTAAATGCAGTATATGTAATAAGAGCTTCTTCGTGAGCTAATAAAACGGGACTTTTGTCAAGGTGTGCTCTGTATGACCAGCTTTTACATACCAACTAAGCACCAGGTGCAGACTATGCACCGGGTGCGGACTATTTAAAAAAAAGAAAACTTCCTTTGCAACCGAAATTTGCCCCTGCACACTATACACCGGGTGAGGACTATAGTTAGGAAAACATGGTACAAAACTTTTACCCTGGAGCATGATGTAAGATATATAACACTGCGCACGTCGCAGCTACCAGATGAAGTCCTCCGCTTGCCTTGCTTGCAAGCGGCACCACCAGATGACTCTTCGATGAGTGGCTAGTGGGCCTGGTTTCCCAGGCTTCTCTATGGTGACAAGCTCGATTTTAAAGTTATTTCTTGGGCATGCAGCAGGATTTTGCAGTTGAACTCCGTGTGTTGCTTAGACGCAGCTTTGTCGTCGACCAGTTCCATGCCTCGACTGTGGCAAGAACAGTTTAATGAACACACTGAAACCGAGAGATCTCCGGCACAGTGCTCGAGCTAGCATCCGTCGAGGTCGGAGCAGACGCGCCGAGCAGAAAGCGCGTGCGCCCGGGCGCCGGGGGAGACGCTGTCGGCATAGGTTACTCGGGCGCACGCCAATAGGATTTTTTCCGGTTGACCACGTAGCAGCGTTTGCCGTGCTGCATGTCCTTGCCTAAAGAGTGTTCAACATTGTGCCCTGGAGTGAAACGGATAAATTCCGGAGCACAGCCGGCGTCTCACCGGAGGATGCGGCGGTCTCGGAGGCCTCTTCCTGGGTGGCCGCGGCGCCGTCCTCCGAGCCTCCGGTCTTGGCCGACTCGTCGTCGTCACTGTTGCCCAGTCGGAAGTCCAGGCTCAGCACCGAGCCCGGACGGCTCGACAGGGAACTGTCGCGGACCCCAAACTCTAGGCTGTACACCGACAGGCCGTCCCCTGGAAAAGCGGGAGGCGACGGATTGACTCGACAATGGACCTTTCCCTGGTAATGAGCTCAGTCCGGGCGATTGTATGCAAACTTCAAACGAAGGGCCGCCCATTGTGCTTCCACCGATCAGAATGCATTGGTATACGGGCCGTTGTACCGGTTTTCATTGCTTTACTCGCCGTGTACTATCAATGCTAAAAAGATCAATAAAAAAGACCAATTATACGTAGACATAGGTGCCGACAACGTTGCTTGTGCGGCACCCTCCGAAAATAGCGGGAAGGAAGGATCAGGGGGGAGGGTGTATGCATGCAGAGAGGGTTACTGGAAAACGGGCCGTTTGAACCCCATTGCATTGGGAATAAAAAAATTAAGGTGTTTTTAAATGCAACGTAACATCTAGGGCCAACAAATCGTACGATCGGGTGCGTTTGTCCATTGCGGCCTACAGTTATTTTAGTATAAAGCGTTTCCTCACTAAATTTAGAAGGGAAACCTGAATTGCTGAAGCATAAATGCAGTGTCATATCACACGATGCTGCAATGTCACCATGACGTCGCACGACTGCCGTGTAACAGTGACATTATAGTGTCACATGATGTTAGTGACACCGCATCACATAACACTGCATCACGAGATGTGACATCACTCGACGTTGGGACGCCACATTGTGACGTTGCAGTGTCGCGTGAGCTCTACCCAGTGCACTCGTCAAAATTGAATAAATTAACAATCAAGGCAACAATGTATGCATCAATTTACTCCTTATGCAAATGGATAAATAACTCCGCCTGCAAAGGATGCTAAACGTTATCAGATTACTTCTCTGGCAGCAGCCCGGGAAAGGAGTAGTTTTGGTTACGACGGTGTTAGCCTAACTGTTTGTACCATCTATTTACATCTATATGTTGGATGTTCATTTCTATAATTTAGGTATTTAATTTGCATCATCATATTTTTGTTACATATTTTTTTCTATGGTATCGCGAAGATCCCCATGTTTGTCTATGCATTCAACTTATGGGCAACCCGGGGATCCAAAGCGTTGGCCCGGGTTCCCTGCATGCCGAATCCTCGGTGGTGATTTCCACCACTGGGAAGCCGAGGGCAATTGGCCGCTTGAGCGGCGCTCTGCCACCGATATGTGCAAGCATGTGCGCAAGGGGCTCTCAGGATCGCGGCGTGAGTGACGGCGGAAGAAATGACTGCGTGTTGTTGAACCAGAACGTCGTGTCATTTTCCGGGATGGGTAGCAGCGAGGGGAACTCCGACACAGGTGCTTGACGTGGGAGTTACCTCACTGCTACCCGTCTGGGAATGATGCGACGCACTAGTTATATTTTTGTTTCGCACACACTCGCGACTGCTCGTGACCGGAGAGGCTTAAAAAAGGTTTCTAAACCTTTCACGACTGCTTACTATTAGCTGCGCTGCTCGTAAGGAGTCGCAAGGCCTAAAAACTGATTTTAGGCCTCTCTGGTTGTAAGTGGTCGCAAGCATAGGAACCGGCCTTCACTCTACGCGTCGGATGCCTTATTTTGATGGACCCGAGCTACTCGACTGGCTCTGGGGCCACCTGCCTTTTTGGTAACGTGCGCGTGCCTTAAGGCCCATTCATGCACTTGTGTTTGCTTGCGAGGGAATTCTTGCAATCCCTTCCGACGAGAACCCACTGGCACGCCGGCACCACCTGTGAGGTGACCCCATAGGAACTTCATTTCATTAGGGCAAAGGTTTTGTGGCACTTGTGGGATCAAATGTATGTACCACCTATGAGAAGCGATCGTTTATGACACTCAAAAGTTTCTCGAGCCAAAAAAAAAAGAAAGAATGACACGCGAAAAAAAGGAAATGTACGGAAATGCCCAGAGTTCCGCAGCTACCCAATAGGTGGTACCAGTGTACTCTCTCGTCGTAAGAGATTTTAAGAGATATTAAGGCACATGATCGTAAGTGGTTGCGAGTGTTTGAATTAGCCTTCACCGATAATAAAGCTAATCGAATAGCAACTCGCACAACGTAAGAAGACCGTGAAAATCCTAGGAAAACGACATATCCGAGCAAGAAGGGAAAAAGAGAGCCAGACCTAGCGACACGGTGTCCGTAGAGACGGCCGAAAAGGCGCCGGACGTGCCGACGGGTCCGGGGTCTCCAAACAGACTGCTTCCCACCCGCTTCTCCGGAGTTGCCGTCTGCGCCGGTTCCACGACCCTCACGTGGCAGAACTCCCCAAAGTCCTCGTCCTCGTCGTTGTTGGCACTGCCGCCGCCGTCGTGGAGAGGATTGTGCCAAATTTCCGCCGTCTCCAGACCTGGGTGGCGACCATTTTCGTTTCGAATTCAGGGTCGTTAGAGCCCCACTGAAGGCAATTTCTAACTTTTCCTAATTCGTCTGCCTCGTGGGACAGAGCCGGAAGAGATACGATCGAGTCTTGGCAGTAATTAAACGTTTGAATAGGATACCCAGACAAATTCGATTACCTCGAATAATGCCACATGTCGACACTTCATTTATTATTCTAGAAAATGAAGGGGCCCCGAATCACCATTTTTCGTCATTTTATGTTTGCCACATTGCGCAACCAAACAAACCGTTTGTATCGTGGAGAAAACTACAATATTCTGATTCAACGCCTGCCGTCGAGCGATAATAATTATGAGACTTCGCAAAAAGGTGCAAGAAAGGGTGCGACCAAAAATAGTTAAGGGAACCAAACGGAAGAAAGTGGCTCCTTGTTTTGTCAGAATAAACGAGTTAGGCAAGCTGGCAAAGAAACGAGGGACTACTTGCAATAGTGGCCAGAGTTCAAAAGCGCAGCTCCGAAAGAGTGTTCCCATTCTTTTCTCTACTAATATTATTGCAAAAGCATTAACTGTCTCATGGAGCGGAAGAGCCAAATGGCTCTTTTACACCGCTTCGATCCCATTAGCTACCGCACGTCCAGAGCCAACGGCACCTTTTACATCGCTCCAATCCCATTGGCTAGCCTGCGCCAACCAGGCACCCATTCGCCGGACACGCAGTGCCATGGGGTGGCCGGTCATTGAAACTGACGAGCAAACGATTGGCCACCTTATGGTGCTGCGTGTCCGTCAACGCATGTCAATGCGCCAACAGCGAAAGTCGAAAACCTGTTTTGTCTGTTTGTCTTCAATGTCCCTCTTTCCTTATCGTAAATTAGAAACCAACACACTCAACCATCTACAGTAAGATTGATGTACATGCTTTCGCATTCACAACTCATAAGAAGTGCTTAGGTGAACCTCAGTCCTTTTTCTATTCACCTTGACAGGAATGAATACCTGGAACATTATATTGGGAAAAAGAAAGTGGCACCATTACAATCTGCACCTCCAGGAACAGAAATACAAGAAATGGGACAAGTCAATTTGTACCATTATTGCATGTAGCCAATTAAAGGGACACTGACAGGGTATTTATACTCACCAAGGTTTCTATTAGTATATGACATATGAAAGCCCAACTACCCAGAACACAATCTGTGGCTCGAAATTAATTTTCTTTCCGCCCGAAAACCACCGATTGAGAACTGGCCGGTTTAAGTCGCGCTCACCCTCTTCGCGGGCCGTTTTCTAAGGTTTAGACAGAACCACCTAATGTAATCAAAGTAGTGGGTCACACTCAATATTAAAAATATAAAAAAATATGACACCCATTTTTTGTATCTTCTAAAAAGCTACAATACGTCGATTATAAAAAAAAAAGTTGTACAAAAACTGCGTAATTTTCAACATGGCGTCGTATCATGAGAGTCATGGGCTGGATGGCTAAACAAACCGGATTAAGCGATGACAGCAGACGACGGGCGTGAAACCTCTACTTCAGACCTGTTGTTTGCAATACGTGCGAATCTGTGCAGCTTCGAAAGAGAAAACTTTTACCGATCAAAACAATCAGGATTTATTCTCTATGATACGCCCCTGACCACCAAGCTGAATTGCACGAAAACGTCCCCGAGTCGTTGCCCCTTCTCCTAGCTGAAGGCATTGCTCACCTTACAAACACGAATTACTAAGGACTGAAAAAATGTGCAAACGTCAAGCACGAAGTGCTTGACGTTTGCGCATTTTTCTGTTTTTGCGTTTTTCGTCTGTTTTTGCGCATTTTTGCGTTTTTCATGCAACGTGCAACATGCGCGTTTTTCGTCTGCTTCGCACAAACCCCCCCTTCCCCTTCCCCTTCCCCCCCCCCCCCTCCCCCCAAAAAAAGTGTGGTTCGGTGTAGCTACGTGATTTCCGGCAACTCTCACCTCCTCTAAATTTCTCCCTCCTTACCAGTGCGGTTTCAGTTTCAGTTTCGAGCACTTGCGTTTTTTTACTTTATAAAAGGCGATGCCGTAGCAAAATATTTATTGAGTAGTCTTCCAACACCATAATAAAATCCTGCAAAAAATAAAAAAAAATTTTCTTGGCGGGGAGGGGGGGGGGGATTAAGAAAAAACACTTCAATGGTCTTCATTCGGCCTCCAGGATCACAAACATCAAGATTATCTTTCAATTGGTGCATGGAGGCTGCAGAAATTAATTTTTAACGTACCGCCAAAGCCCCTCCTTCCTGGGGCGTGACGTCACACTAAGAGTTTTCGGAATTTCTGCTCTCGCGCATCTTCAGCGCCTGTCAAAGCTATGCACATGCACTCTTGCTCTTTTCAAAAGAGTCGGAAAGAGATGTCACGACTGGTGTCAGTGCAGAAAAATACACCTGGCAAGCTTGCGATTGCACGCGTTGCCCACACGAGCGACATGCGCTTGGCGGCTCAAAGATCCTAGTATGACGTCACGACTGGTCGGAAGTTTTTCGCGTTTGGTTATATCCTCGGGGAAAACAAATGTGGTATTTAGATTCACGGGATAAAAATATGCCATGATTCACCTCTAACTCATATTTTTCAAGAAGTGTTTCAGCTTCCCTTGAACAGTCCCTTTTCAGAACCCCATCGAGCAACATTGGTGGTTGACATTTCTTGGACACGAGGCAGGTGACTGGATGCGATTGTGCGCCGAACATCGACGTGGCCGTGTCCAATCCATGCTCGGAATACGTGCCAGAGTAACGGCAGACTTTGATAATTGGCGCAGCAGCAACTGCATGGCGTGCACTTTGGAAAAGGGTCTATTGTGCGCCGCTAAATGAACCGTGCCTCTTAGCGCAGAGTTTGTTTTCTGCGATTTCCTCTCCACGGAAAGTCGTCCCGAACGAGTGTTATGACGGGCATCATAGCAAGCCGTCATAGCGAGCGCCACAAAAGAGTGATGTGCTGGAAGCATTATGGACGTTCATTTTGTATTTAAAGTCCCAGGTATATGTGGTGACCGTCGGATATGGTATAGCCACTGAGCAACTAGCTCAGCTTCTATGGAAGGGTAGGTGAAAATATTTAAAAATAATATGAAGAAATCAATATAATGATTAACGATAAAGATAACAAATATAAATAAATAAAAATAGATAATAAAAATGACGAAAAATCTAGCCCAAACCATGCATGAAGTGTGGTTTGTGCGGGATACATTCTGCGCTCCCTGGTCTTTATCGGCACGATCACGGTTTATTAACTTTTGAAACTTGCTTCCAATCCCCGTGCAACCTTTTCAGACTCGGAAGGCTCCCCAAAGAGCAGGTCAAAGATTGTACGCGAGAGCCGAGTTGACATTCAACCGGGACTTGCATTCTCTTGTTACGCGAGTGCGTTACTAGGAACTGCTAGGAGCCAGGCATTCAAGGGGGCAGCACAACGACTTTAACCTCGAAAGAATTTGCAGCCCATATTTTTTGCGTCGTTCACCTCGACACGATTGAGAGAAAATGCACAACGTACCCCCGAAATACTGCAGTTTCGGGGGTAGGTTGCACAGAACAATTCCAGAGCTAATTGGCTAAAGTCCAGAAATCATTGCACCGCCCCTTTAATGAACGCATCTTGGATTAGAACCTCACCCGTGTCTATGGCGTTGACTGGTTGCAGAGCGCCGTCGACGACGCTGCTAGCGGGTGCCACAGGATCGGGCGAATCCCAAGAGATCATGGCGTCCTCGGAAAGCTCCTTGAAGGCACTGTACCGGTCTTCGCTGGCCGCTGCAGGCCCACGAGTCTCCGGAAAGGCTTGCTGAAAGTCGGCGAAATCGTCCTCCACTTCCAACGCCGCCTTCGACTTTGGAGCCGGCTTGGATTCCGTCGGATTGGATTCCGACAGCTTGGATTCTGTTGGCTTGGAACAGTCGTCCGCTTTGGTTGAATTAAGTGACGCGAAGGAGTTCAAGTCTATTTTGAGGCTGAACTGGAACGGTTTGGTACTGACAGAGGCAAGTGGCGAATCCTTTCGTGGTTTCGTCGACTGGAAGAACTGGTGCTCTTTCGTAGTCGCGTGTTGCGTCGCGCTTGACTGAGGTTTCGCTGGCTGCCGGAAGGACGGCGCACCGGGTGGGTGGGGGCTGGGAACTACGTCGTCGCCGCTTTCGTGAGGTTGCGTCGGGCCGTGCGCGTGATTGGTTACACCTAGAGAAGTCGGTTCGAGGTGGTTGGACGTGTCGAAGACGTTTGTCGGTGCGACACCGGGTACCGCAGCCGACTTGAAGTCGTCAAAATCGTCGTCGAAGTCTCCTGAAATGAGTTGAGCCAAATATAGAATGAGACAATAAGTAGAATAAGTACAGAATAAGAAAAGCTGCTACAAACACTTTTTTGAGGCCAGAGATCCCGAAACTGAACCACGAGATTCAAATCATTCAATATCACTCAAATTTGCCAAGTCCTTTGCTTCAACGAATGGAACTTTTAAACCGGTTGAGAGGACAAAATTGGCAGGTTCAATTAATTTCAGACCTTGTCTAGAAATTCTTAGGTCTCTCCGGACAAGAAATTAGTGGTCTATGGTTTGCAGCACTGTAGGTAGCATAATACAAATGCTCTGCTGCCAAAGGCCTCTTTCAGAATAAAGATTTCACTTATCGAGTATTACTTGTCAAACCTGTCAAATCTTTTAAACTCTGGTTCGCACAAAAAAATCGGCCACTGAAAAATTTACTTTGGAGCAAAGTAAATTTGCTTGCTTACTTTGGAGCCCGTGAACTTTACAGTACAAAATTTCAGAAATCTTTGGCACGGGCAAATAGAGGATTTTGGGTCCAAATCGAATTCAAAGCGAATAGTAATTTTGGCCAAATAATTTCGAATCAAATAGTTTGAATAGTATAAGCAACAAATACCACAAAATATGTTTAAACTATATCGTCCTATATTTGCCCTTATTTGGTATTAGAAGTACTGTAATTGTGAATTTCAAGCATACCGAGTTCGGGAGCACGAAATGGTTGGAAGCTTGCGCCGGCTGGACATAAATTCAAGCCAGAGTATTCGGAAAGTAGAATAATTCGATTTGGTCTAATAATTCAATATTGTCGAATACTTAAATCTGATCAAAACAGAACACATTTCGATGAGCTATTCATTATAACGGAATATTTGCCTATCCCTAGAAATCTTCTCACTATTTTAAACTCAATGAAGTTCGTGGCATTGCTGAGGATGTTTGTTTCTGGCATGGTATAATTTTCCGAGATAATTTTCAGTGCAAATTGGGAAGCAGTCAAACTACACAGCTGGGTTCCTTTATAAGGCTGCATGTAAAAGCAAACCAAGCACTTCAGAGTCTACTGAGAGATTACAGAACTTCTAACTAGAATCGCCTGACTTTGATCTACAGGAGAAAAGAAGTATAATATGGTCTGCACCAAAATGGACCGTTGTTCAGCAAGCCTGCGCGCATGCATACTCCTCCCCACTTTGGTCGTGCGGGCATTGTCCCACACGACCAACACTGTCAACACCAACCTTTGCGCATATTTCATCATTTTGTTTTACTATCGATAGTATGAACAGTAAAAAGCGATAAAAACTGGTACAAGGGCACAATGTCGACGCATTCTGATGAGCGGATGAACGTTGAGCTGTCCTTCATCTGTAGCTAGCAGACAACCGCCCTTGCTAGAAAAAGGTCCATTGTGTAAACATCCGCGTGTCAAGGCTAAACAGTGGACATACCTGAACCAGTTGTCACCAGAGGATGTCTAGACGGCTGAGTTGGCAAGACGGACAATGGACGATCGTGGCCCACGGGAAGAATGGACATGGAGGACCCAGAGGGCACGGAGGACACAGAGGGCACGGAGGACACAGTGGGCACAGAGGACACAGTGGGCACTGGAGGTACACCAAACCCCCCATGGGACCTATGTCCAGCTCCGGGCAGGCTGTCCAGACTCGAAGCCGAAAGTGCTCCGAGCAGCTCCATCGAAGGCTGCAACGTTGCAGCCGCCGGCTTCGAAAAAGCTGGCAAGCTCGACAATGCAGACGCGGTCGTTGACGTGGTCGTCGTAAGCGCGGTACTTATAGACACTGACGCAAGCGCTGGCATTGTATAACTGGTGACATTGTTGCTAGACGTAGGCAGGAACAGAGGCTGTTGATGTGGCTGCGTGGCGACCAACTTCTGCTGAGACTGATTGACCCACTGCTGTTGCTGAGGTTGGGTTACAGCAAACTTTTGCTGGGGCTGATTTACCCACTGCTGCTGCTGCAGGTGGGGTTGGTGCCGAGTTTGGTTGACCTGTTGTTGTTGTTGTTGTGGCTGCTGCTGTTGATGATGGGTCTGCAGATTTCCGTGCACATTGTTCGTCTGCTGGACAAACATCGGGATTGGAGCCTGGGGTAGCCTGGACAGCAGCTCCAGCTCCGGTTGGTGCCCCGCCTGTGCCGTGACAAAACAATTGCAAGTTTCACGTCAAGAGCAATTTTCTATCTACGGCAGGGGCTCTCAAACTTTTCTATCTTCTATCTAGAGTAATGGTTCTCAACCACAGATGTTTTCTGGACCCATTCTTGCTTTACAGGGGTGATGGGGAATCTATCCAGCGTGGGGGGAGGTTGGACTACAATGACAAAGGTGTAAATAGGAAAACTAAATGCGTGCAAACCAACTTTGAAGTTCTGGAACAAAGAGTAACCATCCCTACTCACTCGGCGCGCATGGTTTGGTATAGAGCCACTAAATGAGCTGCGCTTTGAGTATCGGCACTCGGTTCCCCGATACTGGCGCGGGCGCCGCCATTTTGGTGCTTGTGTAGAGCAGACGCAACTGCCGCCGAAATTTAGTAGAATTTAGCAAACGCGATTATACAAGCATTTGACCACAGCGCCCTCTCCTGTATAGACGTTGAGCGGCTACATGCAACGTTAGAGTGTAGCGTAGTGGTTAAGACATCTGCCTCGTAAGCAAGCAATCCTGAGTTCAAACCCCCGTGCGGGCGTACATTGTTTTTTTTTTTTTAAACATGGGCCGATCCCAAAGGCAGTGCAATCGATGTGAGCACGGACGCCGGACGGATGGATGGGCAAGGCTAGACCCTAAGGAGCTTCGCCCCTAAAACTGCAGCTTTCCACCTTTTGCTGACGCAGAGGTAAATTTCAATTCCGGTGCAGCAGTCAAAATAAAGTTATGGATCTCAGTAGCGGAATGCTGATTCATGGAACCTCTTGCGGCGATTCCTTATTTTCATGGCCTTCCTCATAGCCTAAAAGCTTTGGGTGCGAAATTTTTTTGTTAATGTGGTTTTTATGACGGACTTCCGCTTAGACAAGCTCACCCCGTTTACCTTCAGACGTGAGGGATGTTGTGGGAAAAAATACAGAGGTCACTCTGTCTCCTGTGTCGCACAGGTGGTCTACAAGATCCCCTTTGACTGCAGATTGTGTTATGTTGGTCAGACAGGGCGTTGTATGAATGACCGTCTTACGGAACACAAAAGGAGTATAAAGGATAAGGCGCAGAGTTCCGAGTTGGCAAATCATGTTGATGATGATGATTGGGGTTTTTTGGCGCAAGAGCAACTTAGGCCATATTGCGCCAAACAAAGGTTTTTCCAAGAGGCTTAAAAGTATAATCTATAAGAACTGGAAGCTACAGCTGGTGTAAAAAGCCAGTTTTATGAAGGAAATTTAAAACTCGATTGAATGGTACCAATGGTTGATCGCCAAGCAGAAAATATGGGTGAAAGGGAAGGTGACCTCGAAACAGTTCTGGAAAACATGTTCGCCGCTCTTGGTTTAAAGATTTGCAACGCCACAGGATGTGCAAAACAGTCATAGCTTTCCCACAGTTGTCGCAGAGTTTAACGTCCTCACCACAGAGCAGGTGCAAATGAGTCAAACGGGTATGACCGATTCGTAAGCGGCAAAGGAGAACTTCAACCCGACGGTCTTTATGGGAGGAACTCTCCCACACTCCCAGTTGGGGCTTGATAACATGAAGCTTGTTCTCTTTTTCCATATCCCAATCCAACTGCCATGACTTCATAATTGATTTCTGGATGATTGGTTTCAGGTCTTGGTGTGGCAAGCCAAGAGGCAGTTTTGGGAACTCTTTTGCAGAGCCAGCAAGCAAGTCTGCTTTCTCATTGCCGGAAATACCTACGGGGCTAGGAACCCAACAGAATTTTATCAAGTGTCCTAGTTGAAGTGCTCGGTTTAACCGTACCCGAAGATATTGTACGAGAAGGTTCTTACTGTCTGTTAAGGACGAAATGGCTAGAAGAACGCTCTGGGAGTCGACAAACAGAATTGCTTTCATAATATTGTTCTCCAGTAAGTACTCAACAGCCATTGAAATGGCATACAATTCAGCTGTAAAAATATTTGCAAGAGTATGGAGTTGTCTAACTTTTTTGAAGGCAGTGGAGTAAACCGCACACCCCACGAAAGTTGATGTTTTTGATCCATCAGTGTAAAAGTGTGAGTAGTCCTTGTATTTCTGTTCCAGTTCTGCAAACTCCTGCTGAAGAACGAGTGAAGAAATATCTTTCTTTCTGTACTTGGACAGTGACCAGTCACAATAGATTGGCAGAAGGTCCCAAGGTGCAATTCTTTCATAGCTCTTCAGCAAAGCAGCTTCACTAACGGGAAGCTGGAGTGATGTTGCCATGCTTTGAACTCTGAAACTCAGAGGCCGAACAATACTTGGCTTGTTTTCAAAGAGTCGGAGGGATGTAGCAGATTGGAGGGCATCAAAAGAGGGATGTTGAGGAAAACTGTATACCTTGTGAGCATAACAAAGAGTCAAATATTGTCTTCGTCTTTCCAGAGACATTTGATGTGTATCAGCATACAAGCTAGGCACAGGTGATGTTCGAAATGCCCCCGTGGCAAGTCGGAGCCCCAGATGATGGACGGGGTCCAACATCTTTAGGGCAGACGGACGCGCCGACCCATAAACAATCGCGCCATAGTCCAAGCGGGACCATACCAAAGAGTTGTACAGTCGCAACAGGCACCGTCTGTCAGACCCCCAGGTTGTATGCGACAGCACTTTGAGAATGTTTGAAGAACGTAGGCATTTATGTTTCAACTCCTTCAAGTGTGGTATAAAAGTGAGCTTTTTATCAAATATTATTCCTAAAAACTTGTGGGCCTCCTTTACAGATATAGCAACATCATTCAAGTGCAACACTGGATCTGGAAACAGGCCACGGCGGAGTGAAAAGGGAACACAGATTGTCTTTTCGGGGGAGAACCTAAAGCCATTTTGATCAGCCCACTTGCTCATCTTATTGATTGTGAGCTGCAGTTGCCGTTCACAGCTGGACAAGTTACAAGAGGAAAACAATATCTGCACATCGTCCACATACATTGAATAGGATACAGATGGTGGTATAACCTTTCCCAGGCTATTGATCTTTACAGCAAAAAGTGTAACGCTTAATACTCCACCCTGAGGGACGCCCTTCTCCTGGAGAAAAACATCCGACAGGATGGAGCCCAAACGCACTTGGAAGGTCCAACCCGTCAAGAAGCTTTGAATACAACGAAGCATGCGACCTCGGACACCATATGAGTACAAGTCTCGAAGTATCCCATATCTCCAAGTCGTGTCGTAAGCCTTTTGTAGGTCAAAAAAGACAGACACACAATGCTGGCGATGGACAAATGCTTCCCGAATAAAGGTTTCCAGGCGGACAAGGTGGTCTACTGTGGAGCGGCCTGCTCGAAAGCCACACTGATTTCTATCAAAAACACCCTCTGCCTCTAAAAAGTGTACAAGACGGCGATTAACGAGTCTCTCATAGGTTTTGCCCAGGCAGCTTGTCAGAGCAATTGGGCGATAACTCGTCGGTAAGGAGGGGTCTTTGCTGGGTTTCAGTAGAGGGATTATGTGTGCCATTTTCCAACAGTCCGGAAAACAAGCAGCATCCCACAATAAATTAAAAAAAGTGAGCAAACTGCTTAGGGATTCAGGCGACAGTCTTCTTAGCATCTCGTACTGAATCCTATCCGGCCCAGCCGCAGATTTCTTTTTGACGCCGAGAGCCAACTCAAGCTCACACCGTGTAAATGGTTTGTTATAAGGAGCACCTTGACCACCAGACAAAGAAATAGTTTGTTTTTCTGCTGCTGATCTAAACCTCTTAAAGGATTCACTATGGTTGGCTGAATTAGAGATTTCCTGGAAGTGTTCACCAAGAATATTTGCTTGTTCCCTCAGGGATGTTGCTGAGGAAAAGAGAGGTATCCTGAAAGACCAATATTCTCCCCTAATCTTCCTGAGACGATCCCACACTTCCTTTGAAGAAACAAAGCTGCTCAAAGAGGTGACATACTTTTTCCAAGACCTGCCTTTCGCTTGCCTTCGCATCCAGCGAGCTTCGGCTCTTCTTTTCTTGAATTCAAGTAAATTCCTAGAAGTGGGATAACGTCTGAAGATGCACCATGCCTTGTTTTGTGACTTGCGTGTTGTGGTGCAGTCATCGTTCCACCACGGCTTGCACCTCTTGGGAAGTCGTCCAGAGGTCTGGGGGATACTGTGTGATGCGGCATTTATAATCGCTTCAGTAACATACAGCGTGGCATCTTCAGGGCTCATATTTACGAGAACAGATGAATCAATAAAAGCCTCCAAACGAAAAAGAGACCAATCAGCCTTTTCCAATTTCCACCTTGGAAGACGTGTCGGAATGGAAGGAATTGGCATCGTGCTTTCTAAAATAATAGGGAAATGATCGCTCCCAAAAGGGTTATTTAAAACAGTCCATGAAAAGCATGGAAGTAAAATTGGTGATGCAATAGAAAGGTCAATAGATGTAAATGATTGATGTGCTGCACTAAAAAATGTAGGTTCCCTCCCATTAAAAAGACATAACCCAGATGATAATAAAAACCGTTCTACGACACCTCCACGTGAATCCTGGCGAGCACTACCCCACAAAGGGTGGTGGGCATTAAAATCGCCTAAAATTAAAAAAGGTTGAGGTACGGTAATTGTTTTACAAGTGATTCAAGTTCACACATATGCAGTGCAGAGTTAGGTGGCAAATAGAGAGAAACAACTGTGATCAAGCGGTCAACAAGAAGGCGTACCGCTACAGCCTCTAAGGGCGTAGAAAGGGGTACCTCCGAGCAAGCAACACCACTCTGCACCACCAGTGCCACTCCTCCCGACGTATTTGGGGAGAGTCTATCTTTCCTAAAAACTTGGTGCTGACGTAAAATTTGTGTATGAGTGTCATTTAAATGTGTTTCTTGCAGGCTGAGGGCGATTGGTCTCAACTCGTCCATAAAATAATTTACATCATCTATATTTCTGATAAGGCCACGGCAGTTCCACTGCATAAAATGGAAATTGGTCATTGTTTAATAAATGAGATTAAAATATGAATAAAGAAGGAACACTGGGCGAATAAATGAAAGTTCTAAAGCTGC